TGTTTCTTTCTTTATTTCTCCCTCCAAAATCAACATCCTCAAAAAATGTTGCAATTCTCGTTTCAAAAAAAAGTTCTGGAAGTAGGATTATAAAATTTGTAAGCCTAGAACCGCTCACATATCCAACAAAGAGCTTGCTGAATAGTTTTGAGTCCAGTTTTGTTTCATTCGGCTTGTTAAGGGCCTTGCTTCAGCTGAACATCCCAAACATGAAGATGCTTTAGACTAGGCTACGATCCAGCCAAAAGTTATAAGTTGTTTTAGCAACTGCTTTAGCATGAATCCTTGAGAAGGATAAGCTTGCTAGTCCTTTCAACGCTTCACCCATCAGAGACTCTGGTAAAGCATAGAAATGACTAATCATACTCCTACATATCCAATAAGGATTCCATAAGAGTCCTATTACGTCTCTCAGATACACCATTCATGCTGGGAGTACCAGGCATTGTATATTGAGGGACAATTCCACATTCCTGTAGGAAAAGCGAAAAGGTCCTGGACGTTGTTCGCCTGAACCGTCATATTTACCATAATATTCACCACCACGGTCAGATCGAACAGATTTAATCTTCTCTCCCAGTTGATTTTCAACTTCAGCTTTATAAGATTTAAACACGTCCAAAGACTCAGATTTTTCATGAATGAGATATAAGTAACCATAAAGAGAATAGTCATCAATGAATGATATAAAATATCTTTGGCCATTTCTAGCTGCCGCAAATATCTGTATGAATCAGTTCTAAAACATTGGATGACCGAATGGCACCTAGTCTCTTCTGTTTAGTCTGTTTTCCTTTAATACACTCAATACAAGAATCCAAACCTGTGTAATCAAGTGTATCTAAGATACCATCAGAAACAAGACGCTCAATCCTTGATTTGGATACATGACCCAAACGTCTATGCCAAAGTACAACTGAGTTATCAATATTCAATTTTCTTTTGGTACCTCTTGTAGTAACATGCAGGGATTCATGATAACTAGTATCAATGTCTAACATATATAGATTATCACATTCATTCAAGCAACCAGTATCACATTCATTCAAGCAACCAGTACTCAAAACTTTTGAATTCATAGATAAAGCTGTCTCCAAAAGAACAATGAAAACCAGATTTGTCCAAAAAGGAAACAGAAATCAAATTCCTTCTAAAAGAGGGAATAACAAAAGTATCTATGAGATCCAAAAAATAACCAGTACTTAAACATAATCTAAAATGTCCAATTGCCTCTACTTCAACCGGATTGCCATTTCCCACATAGACGTATTTTTCACCGTCAGTTGGCTTTCTGTGGTTGAGGCAGCCCTGCAATGAAACACTTATATGAGCGGTAGCACCAGAATCCATCCAATAAGTGTTTTTAGGAGCTGAAGTTAAATTAACTTCACAAGAAGTTAAATTAACTTCATAACAGACTAAAACAAGGTACTTGCCCCTCTTTGCAAGCCAAATAGCAAATTTAGGACAGTCCTTTCTCAAGTGATCCGTAATGCGACCCTAGCTAATTAACAAGTACTCTTGCAAATCAACAAGGAAATCTAGCGGAAAGCATGCAATCACGGAAGTACGCGTCAATCCCTTTAACCCCCAAGTACTCTTGAAGAGACAAAAACAAGGAATTTAGAACAAGAATCAGAAACTTACCTTCAAGTACTCTTGAAAACAACTCTGAAATTCTTGGCGCAATTAATCTTGTAGAACTCACACAATGAGAAATGAGCTCGTTAAGAGTCCATTAATGAGCTCGTTAAGAGTCCATTTAATTCGGCTTGACACATTATAAGGAAAATCTAATTCTGTCCATACTAGGAAGTCCTAATTTGTCCATACTGAGAAGGAAGAGAATTCATAACCAAATGGACTAAAAGGTCATCTGGTAAAGCCATCCCCAGCGACTTCAGTCTCTTTGCAATCTGAGACATGCTAAGAATATGCTCCCGAACACCACCATTGCCAGCAAACTTCATAAAGGTTAATTTTCCTAAAAGTGTTCCCACTTCGGCTTTGTCATTCTTGACATAAGCCCTCTCCAGCTCGGCAAGATAGTTTTGAGCATTGTTCTTTTTAGCTGAGACAGAGTCTCGAACATGTTCTGGGACTCCTTTCTGCATGATCATCAGACCTAAGCGATTAGAACGCTCCCACTTCTCATACTGAACCCTTTTGAACCCTTTGAACATCAGTGCTCGTATTAGTAAGAGGAGCAAGTTCGTCCATCCTGAATGTAAGATCCAAATCCATACAGCCCAGAAAGATCATAATGTCTGATTTCCAAGACTCAAAATTTGATCCCTCAAGTTTCCCTCAAGTTTAGGGACACAATCAGGATTAAATGACATGTTAGCTGACAGCAGAGAAAATAAACGAATAGATAAGTATAAGCTCACAATTCACAAATGAAACAATTCACATAAGTAGAGATCAAAAATGGAAATAAGATACAGACACAACATTAATATTCTCATATTCTCATCTTTGGATGTAAAATATTCACTTGTAATTAGTATCTCAACGCAGCAATCAAATATTGATAACATAGTCCTGACAAATAATAAATCTTCCTTTGGACCGATATATCATTGTCATGGAAAATAATCAAACAATTATCACATACTTATTGCGGGGTAGAATGGGTTGTATAAGTGGACTTTACTTGAATGAGAGTAAAAGATCAAAGTATAAGGTTAGGATTTATTTGCAACTAAGAGATCAAGCCTGGGTATTAAGTGGGAACAATGTTTGGACTTTTGAGGTATTATTAGTAAGTTTTTGACATATTTTTATGGCCCTTAACCGTGAAACCTATTTTCACTTTCCCTTTTTCAAATCCTTATCTTCATCTTCTTCATTTTCTCTCCACTTTCCTTTCAATTTTCATGGTAAGTTAAGCCTTAACTTCACTTTCTCTTCTATCCAAGTAAAAGTAAAGCCTTCTTGAAGTTCATAATTGAAATCATTTGGTGTTATTTTAAGCATAATTTTATAAGATTTTTTATTTATAGGTGAAGGGGAGTTTCAAAAGAGTGGTAGAAAAAGGAAACTAGGAAGAGCTTAAAGCTTTTTTGGAGTAAGGTTTTGATATCTCTTTTCTTTACCAAATTGTCTTTTGCATGAGAAGTTTGTGTGGAGTGGTTGCTAATGAGACATATATTGCTTAATGTTGAGGTGGGAGGACTGGTAATGGTGAGAAAAACAGGGGAATGTTGAAAACAGGTTTTTTCCTGGAAAAGAAACCAGTGACTTCAACCCTTGATCTTTTAACCCTAGTAAATGATGGAATTAAGGAAGTGTCATTAGAAGAGTTATTTTGTTCCTCTATGTGTTAGCTTTACAATGGGTTTTTGAATCACCCCAAATCGGAGTTGTATATTTGAGAGATATGCCAAAGAGGTGCAGATCGCGCAGGCTAGGAAACAACGTCGCGCGATGCGCGTAGGCTGGAAACAACGTCGCGCGCATTCCGCGGACTTGCACTTGCGGCTCGCCGACTTGTGCCTGAGCTCTCTGACTCCTCATTTTGCATTCATACGCGAGCGTGGACTTTCAGTGCCAAGTGCGCGCTCGCGACTTTCACCTGAAACTCACTGACTCTCATTTTGCACATTACGCGCTCGCGACTCTCAGTGCGCGCTCGCGACTCTCAGTGCGCGCTCGCGACTTGTGCTTTACGCGCTCGCGACCTTCATCGTGCGCTCGCGACTTTGGCCTGGAAACTCACTGTCTCTCATTTTGGCCTCTCGCGCTCGCGACTTTGCAAGGCGCGCTCATAACTTGTCTTTTCATGCATTTTTGGACTTCATTTTCATTGCAATTGGATTCCTTTGCTCACCTTGTATGCCTCCAATCATTCTAAAACAAAAATATAACATCAAAAATATAACATTAGAACATGGATCAAACAACATGAAAGCATACAAATGATGTGAAATCAAGTAAACATGATGATTTATGAAGTTATGAACATCACTTATGAACTCTTAATGTGATATTGTGTTATACCAACATTATGCTCCATTGAGGTTAGGGAGAAACCATGTAGATAAGACCATGTCGCGACATAGGATAGCAGATCTGCACTTCATACAGTTTGGTACTCCGGCTAAAGGCCGTTGAGTGGATATGATTACATATGGGCCATAGCAGCCAAGCATACAGTATTCATCCAGTTTCATACAGTTTTTCTTATCACTTCGGTTTCACTATAACCTTATGGAGCTATACAGTATAACCTTATGGAGCTATACAGATATCTTGCTTTATCATTGCATGAATCATACAGTATACTAAATAGAAATAAAGACCATCAAGGTAAACTGAAAGTATCGCGATATGTGTGCTTATATGTGCTATATGTGTTTACATGCTTATTTCTATATATGAGTGTTCCTTTTTATGTTGAGATATCCACTGAGCTTTATTTGCTCAGCGAGTTACCTGTTTAACTCGCAGGTTTTGAGACTGGTCCATAGAGAGTCCGCCTACAACTGCTGCAGTTCATCTGTAGAAGACTCAGTCTTCAGGGTAGCTACTCATTTGGATGTATATCTTTTGTCTATTTGTTTCATGGCATGTACAGGGCACACAGTTGGGCCCATTCCATTGTGTAACTAGTAACATGTTTTGTAAATATGCAGTACATTATTTATGTAAACAACATCAGCATGCTATTATGAATTCAGCATATCAGGTCATTAAGTCAACCAGTTTGTAACGTCTCGGCTCGATTTATTCGGGTTTATGGGTGGACCGGGAAGGGATGTTACACATAGTCCTGACAAATAATAAATCTTCCTTTGGGCCGATATATCATTGTCATGGAAAATAATCAACAATTATCACATACTTATTGCCAAACATGTGTTTAAAACTCAGCCAAATAGCAACCTTCCTTTAGGCCGATTAACTATCCGCAACGAATTCTAGTACACCTGTCTAATACTCTAAAATAAATCAATTCAAGGAATAGAGGTCACTTTGGTGACTTATTGATCAAATCAATTTATTTTGATCAATACCTAACCCTTAATGATGCCCTAGTGTACTGCTACACCAAACAGATACTGAAAGGTTTGAAGTATCTACATGAACGAAATTTCATCCACGGAAACATGAAATGTGCAAACATTCTGTTGACAAACAATGGAGGCCTGAAAATTGCAGATTTTGGATTGACAAATTTACAGAACCTCCTCAAGGCAGGCAGAGGGATTCCGGCCTGGTCCGCTCCTGAGTTCATTGATACGAAAAGACAAGGAGAATATGGACTAACTAAAGCTGATATATGGAGCCTTGGCTGCACTGTCTTGGAGATGTTAACCGAAAAACTTCCATACTCCGGTTTAGAAACTTGGTCGATATGGTATCGGATCGGACAAGGTATTCCACCTTCTATTTCCGATTCTCTCTCTGATAATTCTCGGAACTTTATCCAGAAATGCCTACAAGTTAATCTAAAGGAACGTCCAACTGCTTCCCAGCTTTTAGAGCATCCGATATGGTATCGGATCGGAACAAGGTTAATTTCCACCTTCATTCCGAATTCTCATCTCTGATAATTCTCACAGGAAACTTTATCGCAGAATGCCTACAAGTTAATAATTCTCGGAACTTTATCCAGAAATGCCTACAAGTTAATCTAAAGGAACGTCCAACTGCTTCCCAGCTTTTAGAGCATCCATTTGTGAAGGTCACAGCAACCTGTAGCAGCACCTGCCAAGCCAATTACTATTGCCATTAAAGACATGGATTTGTAACTCTATTTTATCTTTCTATATTTATTACAAAATAAATTTTGTAGTTATTGGATTTAATTTTATTTACTATGTAATTAATTTTGTATTTTTGTGGTTTTCTTACTTGAAATGATCTTAGTACCCTTCCATTCCTCTATTATTAATTTTATTTACGTAATTAATTATTTTTTTTAGTCTTTAAAGTACATTATCTATTTTTCTTTTTTGAAAGGAACATTATCTATTTTTCTAATATTATTTTTAGTTATAATGCAATGATATTAATAATATTTTAATTTAATCTATAAGTAGGTAAAAATAAATTCATGGAAACATAACCTGAATTAACAAGTCATTTGTTGCAAACATAAACTGAATTAACAAGTCATGAAATACAAATCCAAATATTTTTGGAATGAAACAAAATTATAATTGAAGGAACAAAATCACCATCAACCGCAAACTTCTATACTACTCTTAAAATTTAACTTTAAAAAGTAAAAAGAAAAAAAGAAAAAAAGAAAAAAAGAAGGATTATAACAAGCATAGGAATCATGGAATATTTTCCAAAGTGTGTACAGCACATTGTCGGATAATCTTCGTGGATATGGATTGAATTGTTCAGATTCAACCCAGATGAGTTCCCTTATCTCGTCCTCAGAAAGTAATGACTCATCAAAATCAAAGTAGAAAGGGCTTGGGCAATCAGGCTCGTTTTTGACATCATGATAATGTGCCAAATAAGGGTGCTTTAAAGCTTCGTTAACTGCACAGAAGGAAATAAAATGGGAGAAGCTTTGTCAATAAGCAAATTAAAAGTGAAACTCGATCATATTCATCTTGATTTGTCAATTATATGCAATTTTTACTCTTGGCAGAACCTATTGATGAATAAGGCCTTAAGTTTTCTTGTTATTCTTTATTGGTTTATGCTCTTAAGATGATGTTTGAAGAGTATTTAGTTTGTAGTAGAAATCTCTACCTTGTATATGATTTAAGTAAGCTGAAATTGGGAAAAAGTGTTATTAGGTGGCATTAAAGACTATGTTTTGATCCTTTTTATTTTCCATTGGTGTAACGCCCCATTTTTCTGCGTCTGAAATAGTAAGTTATCGGTCTATGAATAGTGCCATCGGTCTGGGAATAAGTATGATTTTGGTCCGGAAAAATTGCTATCTATGTGTCATATTTTATGTAATATTTTTGGAGTATGTACACATTATTTTTATGGGTAGAAAGTAAGTAATGAATATTTTTGGAGAATTTAGAGAATTAGTAAATAGTGAATTACGGAAATTATTTTTATGGAGTAAATTTATGATGATGTAATATTAATTAAGGAAATTAGAGGAATGATTTTTAAGGATTAAATTAGAGAATTTTTATGGAGATAAATAATATTTTGAAGGAAATAAATTGGAGAATATTTTTAGCCATTGGATGAGATTACCAATGACTTAATCTTAGCCATCCAATTTTGGTGAAAAGACCAAATTACCCTTTAGTCAACTCCATTATTTGAGCAAAATTTTTTCTTCCTCTTCCTATCCATCTAACGTGAACTTCTTTCTTCTTCTGCTCCATTTTAACTTTAGCCTCTCTTTCTCTTCTCTTTGTTTTCTTCACTTCCTAATATAAAAAAATAAGAAAATGAAATGAAATTTCTATTATATAAAAAAAAATTACTCACTAAACTTGTGAATACTCAATTACTTCTAATTCATAATATTTAAATTTTATCATTTATATGTTAAGTTAAGACGGTGCCTCCAGCACCGAATGTGGCATTAGGACAAAAGGGTGGAGGAAGCTCCTTACCAAAGACAAGGGAAAACTAAAGGAATCAAGAGTCTTATTTAAGCTTGTTTAGAGCTTATTGTTTTAAGGTTGAGCTGTTCCATAAACCTTCTACCTTGTTTATTGTTGATTTTGTGAAGTTTTTTAAATACTATTTTGTGAAAATTGGGGAATGTTTATATGAAAATAATTTTTATTATTGAAATTTTTTGGTGGTATGATAGAATGTGTTCTTGGAGATTTCTTAGGGCATTGCTTTTAATGTGAATTTGATAAAGGAAATGACAATTTCTTCTTTCATATTTCCTTTCTTTCATCTCCAAGAAGTGGCAGAACTATTGATGAATAGAAAGGCCTTAAGTTTTCCTTGTTATTATTTGTGGATTTATGATCTTTGAAGATGATATTTTTTGATGAGTAATTAGTAATGGTTTGTGGAGAGAATCTTCTATACCGGTTTATAATATGAAATTAAGTAAGCCTGGAAATTATAAGGAAAAAGTGTGTATTGGGGTGTGGAATTAGGACCTTGGTTTTTTTCGATTTTTCGATTCCTTTTTCATTTTCCAGCATGGTGGGTCCGTGAGTCGCTTCATCTGGAAAAGTTGTAGCTCTACTTCTTAGACCTTTCCAAACCCATCCCTCTTTTGGGTGTCCAATTTGGATAGTGTATAGTGGCTTCAACTTATGGGCTAAAAGACAGCCTAAACTTTGATCTGAACTCGCTGTGTATGGAAAAGGGCGCACATGTATTCACTGATATTTGAAGTGGGGCCCCGATTTTTGACCACTTATAAGTTGGTATATTATATTATAATGTTGCTGAGTTTTTCATGAGAAGTTGAATTTTCCCTGTGGTCTTTGAGAGCTTCTCTGGTTTTGGTATTGGGAATTGATTTGAGTGTCTGGGATAAAGTTAGGGAAGTTTTGATAAACATTGGACCTTAGGGTTCTGCTTGAAATCGATGGGTCTGGACTAATTGGTCTGTGTTGCTTAGCTGCGTTTTTTCGACCATTTTTATAATAGATTGAATCCTGGCGCTGGTTGGTCCGCCTTGATAACATGTTGGGTATATGATTTTGGTTTTGTGCCTTAATCTTCCCTTTTAATGAAGTCAAGAGCTTCACTTGAATTTGGAGATCCTATAAACTCAAAGTTATGGTTCTAATGTCTTAAAAAACCCAGCAAAAGGTCAGAGGTTTATATTAATAGCCTGGAAATTTTCCTTATGTCAATGAACATAGGTTTATTTGGGATAAATGAAGGTAATGAATTATGCTGTGGATGAAGTTCCTCTTCATTATCTTTGGTATCCCTTTAAGATTTAGTGTTTTGACAAAAATAAGACATAAGTTTGAAATACGTGTATGTTTGTGGATGATGTGTAAATGGATATAAATTGGGAAAGGTGTGGAATTGAAATTTAGATAATTCATTGATAAAGGTTGAAATGGATATTTTTGGGGGGGTGTATTAAGGAGTTATGGTTAGCAATGCTGTTGATTGGAGAATGGAAATGAAATTTCCTGCCCTGTTGGTGACGCACCTGTAAAAGCTTTATCTTAAATTATTTTATATATAGAATGTACATAAGTATGATTATTTGATTAACTTATAATATGGTTTTTAGAAAGTTTTAAACAAGAAATGGGTTATTTAAGGTGTAAATGTGCTTTGTGAATTTTTTAATAAGGAAAAAATGATTGTCAATTGAATAAAATGTCTATGTTTCAGTAATTATGTTAGTATGATTCTAAAGTAAAGCTACAATTATGAATTTAAGAGAGACTAAAGAATAAGACAAGTTTTCTGATAAGTGGATAGTTGAGTAAAGAAATTAAAAGAACAAGGGTATTTGTTGGGCTCTAATATTATGCTTAGTTGTTGTGAGCTTTAAGTGGTGAATTGATGCGTGATTTGTTGATTTTTTATTCTGTCTGTATGAGCAATGGCTTTCGTGGCATTTTGAATGCCCATTCTGAGTAAGAAAGCTTATGATCATATGCCTAGACACGTGGGTGGTTCTTTCTGGTTCCTGTTTTAGGGCGGACGCGCTCTATATGTTTATAAAAAGATGTTTTGGCGACCTAGTTAGGCCATTAAGAAGCTAAGTTATGAAAACTTTAATCTGCTTCTTCTTCTCCTATGGTTGGTATGTAATGCGAGCCCTATGGGAAAAATATATGTAATACAATGAAAGCGAAAATGAGAATCAAATATTATTTTAGTAAAACCTTTACTTTGGAAATTAATTGATTAATGTTATGGTTGTATCAAAGTAATTGTTCAAAGCATGATAATTTTCAGTACATTGGTATGAAATAATTGAAATAAAAGAGTAAAGGTGGTAATGGTAAGTGTGGTTATATGGTGGTGTATGGTTGCAAATAAATGAATTGTTATGATTTTGAAAGAATTGAGAATTAATTTGATGTTGCTATAGTTCTAAAGTTTTGTAGTTTTTGAAAGAACAAAAGTATTTAAATGAATGGAACAAAATGTCTTAGAGTAAAAGGATTTATGGTTATCGAAGAATAATTCCTTTGAAATGTTATTATTAATTAATATTAAGTTTATCGTGGCTATTTGTTTTGGCTATATATATGGGAGAATGTATGTTGAATTTGTTAATTGCAAAATTTATGACTTTGGTAAATGAATTTTATGAAATTTGTTTTTTTAAGTAAGGCTTTGGCCATCGCAACTTTTGTAAGGTATGTGAATTATGAGTACCACTACGCACGTGAGTTTGTTATACTGGCAGCGGGGCGTCGATTTTTTATCAGCGCGGTAGGTTTGAAGATTTGCGGTCGCGTATTTGAAGATTTGTTGAAGTAAAATATCAAGCCAGAAGTGACTAATTTGTGGGTAGTAGGTCGATGAGGATTGTATATAATTTTAAGATATATGGCAATGTATAATTATTACTTTTCCAGATATTATGTTATTGAAATAATAATTGAGTATGTAATTTTATAGAATTATTTTTGGTGTATCTATTTGGAGATAAGAAATAAAGATTATTATTTAAAGTCACTCGAATATGGAATTAGTTTTCATTAAGAACCTTGATAGATCATAAATGAAATGCAATTAATTGAAATGGGATCTAAAATACTATTGAGGATTATTCATTTATGAAAATATAAAAGTGTTGTTATTGTTATAAATGATTATTTGGAGGATGTTGGAAAGTTTAGAGTTAATTGGAAGTAATTTTTGGTATGTGCAACGAAAGTGTTTGGCGGGCTCAGTTTTTAAAGGATATTCTTACACGTATTTATGTAGGATCTATTCCCAATGTGGTAATAAAAAAAAATGCCAAGAAAATAAAAAATGGAAAAAATTTCTGATTACAAAAGAAAAAGAGATTACTTACCGCGAAACTTGTGAATATCTCCAATTACTTCTAATTCAATAATTTTAGTTTTTATGATTGTATATGTTAAGTTGTAAGAAACGCGTGTCTGCCCGGGCACCGAATGTTGGGCATCTGGCATCCCCGCCGGTCGGTCTCTCGGGACTGTGGGCGGAGGGTGTTACATGGACAGCTGACATAATAATTTTTGTCACTTTGCTTAGATGTATGATTTATATGTTAAGTTAAGACGGTGTCTCCGGCACCGAATGTGGCATCCGCCGTCGGGTCTCTCGGGACTGGGCGGAGGGTGTTACATGGACACTGACATAATAATTTTGTCACTTGCTAGAGGACAATAATGCCTTAAGTGGTAATATAAACTTAGTTCAGCAGAAAATCTCTGCAAGGTTAGAGGTTCGATATGTGATACGTGGAAAAAACACCTATGAAAAGGACAACCACAGATTTCAAAATGAAATTAATCTCTTGTTTAATTGATACAGGGATACTCTTAGGAAAACGAAAAAATGAAATGTCACTTCGTACCTGTAATGCGCTTGTTTGGATCATAGACTAGCATCCTCTCCAATAGATGAAGAGCATCTTCAGACATATTAGGAGCATATTGTCACGGAGATAGGATTTTGCTATACCTATCCGCGCAGCACTTAGTCACCCTTGAGGCTTTAGGATGCGCTAAGTAAGCCTTAGAGTTGTGTTGGAGCAAAAATAGAAGCTAAAGAGAAGAGAACACAAGAGAACTCTTAACACTCAAATGCTTTATATTTGCTTAGATGAGCTTGGATTGCTTGGTTGTTTTACAAGTGAAGTGAGGGTGGTATTTATAGCCACTTCCACCTCCTCTATGAACGGCTAGGATTTAGTCTATACAAATGAACGGCCTAAATTACATGGACAATTCTAGAATTATGTAGACATTACATAAAATATCTCCTATGCGGAGTAGTGTAGAGAATTCTAGAAAGCGGGCTTGGATAATCTAGCTTTGGGCTAGAGGTTTGCCAAGCCTTGGCACATTTTGGCAGCCCAATTGGCACCCTTCTAAATCTTGCCTATAAATTGAAGAGGCTGCCTCGCATTTCTGCACCTCTTGTTGTGCGGGGCGTAACATCCTCCCCCACTCAATATCGCAACGTCCTCGTCGCGCCATGAGCCTCGTGTTCTTTTATTTTGTCCTTAAACTGCCAAAGAGTATCTTCATGCTCCCAACTAGCTTCGGATCGGGCAAGTTCTTCCACTTGATCAAGTACTCACGATAGTTTGGTGCTCCGCATCGCCATACTACTCGTGAGTTGAGGATGCTGTCAACTCGCTGAGTTGAGGATTCCACTTGATCAAGTACTCACGATAGTTTGGTGCTCCGCATCGCCATACTACTCGTGAGTTGAGGATGCTGTCAACCTCCTTGTCAAATTTGGTAACAGCAGCAGTTGGTGGTCGAGTAGACTCGCCCCTACTTGGATCCTCATCACCTGCATGATAAGGCTTTAGCATGCTCACATGGAAGATATTACTAATCTTCCACTCCGGAGGCAGTTGGACTTGATATGCGGCCTTCCCTACTCGTTCAATGATAGGGAATGGTCCTTCATACTTCTTCACAAGCCCTTTATATACCTTTTGTAAGGACTTGAGCTGGTTAGGGCGGAGTTTGACGAGTACCTTGTCTCCTTTGGCGTACTTCTTCAGTCGCCTCTTGGTGTCGGCCCATTTCTTTATAAACCGAGCAACCTTATCGAGACAAGCAAGAGTCTCGTCAACTTCTTTATGCCATTCCCTCACAAACTTGTGAGGTTTACGGGTGTGATCCGATTGGTTGTTTTGTGAGGCACTAGCACTTTTGTTGGCTAGTTTCGCCTTGTGACTTGATACGTTGGTGGCAACATTGGCCTTCTTTAGTTCTCCCGTCTTTGGAGGAGACATGGCTGGCAGCTTAGCACTTGGCTCGAGCTCAACCTGGTGATTGGCTTCCTTTTTAGAAGGAACCGTTTTTGGCGACTGTGGAGGCGTGATGTCTTTGGACTCCTCCAGCACCGTTTGGGCAGATTTCGGCAAAACTTGCTTATGATTTGTCACTTCCTCGTCCTCGGAAGTGCCAAGGGATATGGCACCCAAATATCGTAGGGAACCCATATGGGCTTGGGGTTCCTTTGTCGCCTGTTTCTCCTTATTGCACTCGGCGACCATTGCATTCATTTCCTTTTTATAATCGGCGCGCATCGCATATATTGCATTCCTGTTGGGGCAATCTTTTGTCCAATGCGGCCCTCCACAGAGGAAGCAAGGTTTATAAGGTTTGAAATTAGGCTTCCTAAACTGCTTATCATGTCTTCCCTCGAGAGATTTGGACGAACCATCTTCCCTATGATGATGGTCCTTCCCCTGATCTTGTCTGTCTCTTCACTCTTGCTAGGAATGGGCTTATTGTTCTCGACTCGGGTGGAGTAGTCCGTCAGGGATTCAACCACGGCAATAGCATCATCACAAGTGTTTGTACGCTACGCCGTTCTAGCTCCACCTTCGCCCACTTTCTTAGCCCATCTTTGAAGAAGAAGAGAGCGTCTTTGTCGGACAAATCGTCAATCTCCAAAATAAGGGTGGTAAACTCCTTAATGTAATCGGAGAGGCTACCTCTTTTTGTTGTAGACGACGTAGTTTACCCCTTGCTTCGGTATCCGCATTGTGAGGCATGAAGTGCTTCCGCAATTCTAACTTGAATTGCTCCCATGTATGGATAGTGCAGGTGCCTTTTTCGCGCTCCGCATGCTTCCTTCGCCACCATAATTAAGCAGCGTCCCGAAGGAACGTGGGGGCATTGCCAATCTTGGTGGCATCATCATTTACCCCCATGGCCTCAAAGTACTGGTCGAGGCCAAAGAGAAAGTTCTCCACCATCAAGGCGCTACGCGTACCGTCGTACGTCGCAGGCTTGGGTACCTTCAAACCGTAGCACTGGTTGAAGCGGGACTACTCATTCGTTGGTGCATCCGGCATTCGAAACGGATAGCATCTACTTCACTATGTAGGGCACTAAGTTCAGATTCAGTGAATGGTCGTACCTCAGTTATCCTACCAGTAAGGGCTTGAAGCTCCTCTCATAGGGATCTACCAAGCTCGATGATCATGCATTTGGCTGCCCGAATGATCTCTTCATTCTCCTGAACAACATTGTCGATTTGTTCGGAGAGTTCTCCCACAATAGGTTCTTGAGAAGACAAGGATTGCTCAAGAGCTGTGAGTCTCTGCTCCACATGATCCATTGGAGAGGTTCGTGCCTTAGACTTCCCCCTCTTAGGGTGAGTACGCACTGTGAAACGGCCTCGAACTGCCTCCGGCTGCTCGGGTTATTGTTCCTCAACAACAACCAATTGAGCTTCGTCGTTTGCCATTGATCAAGGCGAAGGGCTTGGTACCTAGGACGGAACCTGCTCTAATACCACCTGTCACGGAGATAGGATTTTGCTATACCTATCCGCACGGTACTTAGTCACCCTTGAGGCTTTAGGATGCGCTAAGTAAGCCTTAGAGTTGTGTTGGAGAGAAAATAAAAGCTAAAGAGAAGAGAACACAAGAGAACTCTTAACACTCAAATGCTTTGTATTTGCTTAGATGAGCTTGGATTGCTTGGTTGATTTACAAGTGAAGTGAGGGTGGTATTTAAGCCACTTCCACCTCCTCTATGAACGGCTAGGATTTAGTCTATACAAATGAACGACCTAGATTACATGGACAATTCTAGAATTATGTAGACATTACATAAAATATCTCCTATGCGGAGTAGTGTGGAGAATTCTAGAAAGCGGGCTTGGACAATCTAGCTTTGGGCTAGAGGTTTGCCAAGCCTTGGCACATTTTGGCAGTCCAATTGGCACCCTTCTAAATCTTGCCTATAAATTGAAGAGGCTGCCTCGCATTCTGCACCTCTTGTTGTGCGGGGCGTAACAATATGGAAACATATTACGAAATCTAGTAGCAAAATCTGGCCTTGAACCATTATCTTCTTGCAGACCAATGAGCTAGAGGAAGAGAAAAATTGTAGATGAGATGTTTCACTTTTAAGTAATTTGACACAATAGATACAGAACATGCAATTTCATATATCAATGCACCAGCTATATATTTCCTTCCCAAACATGCCAGAAACTAAGCGGTTGTGGCATGCATGTTGAAAATTAAGCTTTGTCTAGCACAAGAGAGCAAAACAAAGAGGATCATCTCATGTTATTCCGCCACTCACAAGAAATAAAGCCATGGAGATGGGGATGGGAGACACAGAAATGAAAAGGATAGGGAGGAGGAGAAAGAAGAAGAGGGAAAACGGTGGAAGAGAGAAGGATGACATGAGAAAATCAAAAAGGCATATAACTTAGAAAGACTCGAGGCTCTTCAAAATTAAGAACAATAAGAAGTTTTCAACGTAGAGGAAAAAAAATAGTCCATGGAAGATTTGCTGAGAAATGTCCACAAACATACCTTCTTGATAAGCTTCAACATACGAGTCGAGTTTTTTTCAGGAAACAAAGGTTTGCGTGTCATTATCTCACCAAGTATACAACCCACTGACCATATATCAATTGCTTCAGTGTAATGTGATTGCCTCTTGTGCAATTCTGGTGCTCGATACCAGCGTCTGACAACTTCCTCAGTCATGGGGTCGGTTTTTGATTTTATCCTTGCACAACCAAAGTCTGGAATCTTAAGGTGACCTTTAGCATTCAGGAGCAAATTGTCAGGCTTTAGATCACGATGCAGAACACCTGCTGAGTGTAGATATTTGAGCCCTCAGAGCAATTGATATAAAAAGTACTACAAAAGTAAAAGAAAAAAAAATAATGAGGGGTAAAAATTGTGTGGTAATTTATTGTTCACAAGGGCAAGAGGCAAGAATTTAAGAAGCAGTATGATGCTGGGACGAGTTAAGGGTTAAGGCGAATATTAAAGAATTTTGAAATCATAAGTAATTGGAAAAGAAAAATATAGCTACAATTGTAAAGTACTTCATAGAAAATAAGCAATCCAAGAACAAGGATGATGCGTACCTGACACTGTTTATCAGTCAATTCTCGTTCAGATTTTATTACTTTATCAAGATCAGTTTCCATCAATTCATAAACAATGTACACATCGTTGAAGTCCTCCTGAGGGGGTCGTATTATAACTTTGATAGAAACAATCTGACGACAATATATAGCGATAGAGTAAGATAATAATCCCAACCCCTGAAAAGAGCAGTAATGCCATATTGCATGCCCAATGACAAAAGTAATTTCTGACTGTCTTGTTTATAGAATATGACAATTTAAATTAGTGAATTCATGAGTATAACAACCACAACGAAACTCACATTTTGATGGTCCATGTGCAGGAGAAGCTTAACCTCTCGCAATGTCCTTTTAGCAAGTTTCTGGCTGTCGAAAACATTACCAATTCTCTTAATGGCAACTTTCTCTCCTGTCTTAGAATTCTCAACAGCGCTGAAGGAAAGAAAAAATACACGTTGTTGGTAAGACAAAGCATTTGAATCAATTGTAGGACAATGTAATCAGTTACAGTCCGGATTACATATTGTTTGGTTGGATGTCTGGACAATTGTAGGACAATATAACCTGAACATCATTCATCCAACCAAACCGAAATGAAATAATTCTTTCCATCAAACACTTAAAAAAAATAAACAAAACAGATTTGAAAAAAAAAAAAAAAGGAATCAAGCTGAAAAAACTGCAGTCCATGGAATCCTCAAAACAGGTAATAAAGAAGGACAATAAGTGATTAAGAATCTTACCAAACAATTCCATAAACACCCTCGCCACAAACATTAAGAAGGACATACTTGCTGGAGACTTCAAAGTGGAAGCTGCGCACAATATATAGGACGTAGCGTCCATCGTGAGTAGGTGTTCCTTCGATGTTATGCTCACTGGAAACAGAGTTTGACTCAGTTGACATTTCTGCAAAAGCAACTTGGATCCAAACTCGATTTCGAAGATTAAACCTAAATTTATTGGAGAGGCGAAAGTGAGGGCAGAAGAGAAATTAAAGGAGTCAGAGTTTGACTCAGTTAACATTGGTCTTTTCGTTTGCAACACGATATGAAAACTTGAAGAGCAAGTCAGAAGAATATTATTTTTCTTTTGAAGAGAGTTAGAAGAATATTATTTGGAAAAAAGAAACAGTTAACCGTTCTTAATTTTTAAATTCTTTTTCTTATTCTTTTTTTTTTGACATGAATATTGGTCATTTTATTATTAATAGAAGAAACGAGCAATACAAGTGGGAACAATATCCCAAGTTTGAAAACAAGCCCCATGAGGAACTAATTTAGCCAATACATGAGCTATATCATTAGCTTGTCTTCTAATCCAAGCCAAGGTGACATTAGGCAATTGGACTAATAGTAGTTTATATTCTGAAATAACTATCCCAAACTCAGACCAGTCTTGGACAGAATTCCTCATAGCACAGTAAACTTGCAGACAATCAGTCTCAATCTGAATCTTCAAGTTTGAGTAGCCTGAAAGCAACCAAGACAGCACCGTTCTTAGTGCCTGAGCTTCGACTACTGCTAGAGAAGAACAACCCTGCAATGAAGACGTTGCTGTTGATACAAACCCCCTATTACAATTTGAAATTACAGCACCTACGGCTCCATAGCCGATAGAGGGGTGGAGAGTTGCGTCAAAATTAATTTTAAGAGTGCCAACAAGTGGTGGAAGCCATTGACTACTTACAGGAGTACCTGGACCTATACCCGAACCTGGCGATGTCCGTTGGGCTTTCTGCCAAGATGCGAGCATACTTCTGGCTCGAGTAACCACTTGATAGGGTCCTTCTTCCACTTGATTCCATTTCAGTTCATTACGGCTCAACCAAACACTCCATAGCCCCATAACAAAACTCTCAAAAAAATTCGTTCTCCCATGCCTTGTGAAAATGTTCCAACAGTTGTAAGAAAGTTGGGAATGTTCCCAATAGTAAGCTGAATACCAAAAAGGTGCCAACAAAAACTTACTCGTGGACACTCAATAAGGGCATGGAATAACGTCTCAGTAGTGCCACAGTAAGTGCATCCTGTGTCAGTCTGTAATCCCTTTCTTTCCAAAATTGCTTTAACTGGCAGAATGTCTCGACAACACCTCCAGAGAAAGTGTCTCACTTTCGGCGAAATTTTCAGTGACCAAAGAACTTTCTAGAAACTTGATCGCCCAGCATCTGCAGTATCCACATTTTGAGATGCTAATAGTCTGTATCCAGATTTCACAGAGTATATCCCAGAGTCTGTCCAATGCCATATAAGGATGTCGTCTTGAACAATTGTAGATAAAGGAATAGAAGTAATAATTTCGGCAATTGAAGGATTGAAAAGACCATGTATCAATGGCAAGTTCCAAGCGCGTGTCCCATGTGCCAAAATAAGATCAAAAACCCGTATGTGCTCAAAACCTGGAAGGATAGGCAAGTGAACTCGAAACTGATTATCCCTTAATAGCCACGATTCGATCTAAACATTTATGGATTGACCATCTCCAATTCTCCACCGAAAACCTGAACAAATAGCATCCTTTGCTGCACAAATCCCTCTCCATACAAAGCTTGGATTACGGCCAACGCCTGCTCCAAGAAAATTCCCGCTTGGAAAATATTTAGATTTGAAAGAGCTATAAAAGAGAGAGTTTGTATTATGTAAAAGCCTCCAGCAGTGTTTGCCTAACAAGGCCAGATTGAAACTTCGCAAATGTCTAAAACCCAAATCGCCTTCTTCCTTTGCTACACATAGTCTATCCCAACTCAACCATCTCATCTTTCCTCCCCACCAATAGGAATTCATTTGCCGCTGAAGCTCCACTAGAATGGATACCGGTATAAGGAAAGAACTCATACAGAATGAAGGAATAGCTTGTGCGACAGCCTTTATTAGTACCTCTTTACCGGCTTTGGATAGGAGTTTCTGATTCCAACCGTTGACCAACTTCCTCACTCGATCTTTTAAAAAAGAAAAAATTCGTCTCCTTTCTCTGCCAATTAATGATGGCAGACCGAGATACCTTCCGTGGTTCAAAGGGGCAATCACACCAAAAACCCCTGTAACAGCAGTCTTATCTAGCTCATAAGTGTTAGAGCTGAAAAAAATACCGGATTTTTGCCAATTAACCGCTTGACCTGAAGCTGCTTCATAAGTAACTAAAATATTTTTAATCTCCAGAGCTTGAGTCTATGATGCCTCAAAAAAGAACAAACTATCATCTGAAAACAACAAGTGAGATAACCGAGGAGCAGCTCGCTAGACTCTGCAGCCTTTGAGGTGACCTTCACGTTCAGACTTACTAAATAGCTTCGACAGTCCTTCAACATAAAGAATAAATAAATGAGGTGATAATGGACAACCTTGTCTCAACCCCCGTTCTGGAATAATTGGGCCAACCTCATCCCCATTTACTCCCACCCAGTATTTAACAGAGGAAACACACAGCATGACCAAGTCAACCCAACGCTGACTAAAACCCAAACCCTGCATAACAGCTCGTAGATAACACCAATTAACCCGGTCATAGGCTTTAGATATATCAACCTTCAGTGCAGAAGCGCCTTGTCGACCTGTCATTCTTGTTTTCATAGAGTGGATTAACTTGAAAGCAATTAGCACATTATCTGAGATCAACCGACCCGGAACAAAAGCCGACTGAGATAATGAAATAAGATTAGGCAGAATGGTCTTCAATCTGTTCGCCAGAACCTTAGCAAACACTTTGTAAAATACATTGCAAAGTGAAATAGGTTGAAAATCTTTCACTGCCTCTGGGTCCTCTACTTTTGGAATCAACACAATTAAGGTATCATTCAGATTATTTGGAAAAACGCATGTGTTGAACCAGTCTCGGCAACTTTGGACAATGTCGCGACCCACAACATCCCAAAACCTCTGGTAGAATCTAGGATTGAGACCATTCATCCCTGGGCTTGTATCCGCATGCATCTATTTCACAGCTAATGTAACCTCCTCCACTGAAATATCCCCAAGTAACATATGATTATCATTTTCCGAAACTAAAGGAGAAAATAAACTCATAACAGGATTTAAGTCAACATCCCCTGCCTTAAATAGATTAGCAAAATAATCACTCACCATACCGATCAGCAAATTGTGGTCACTGGTCCACGCACCATTTGCATCCTTCAATCGAAAAATCTGCTTTGACTTCTTCCGTTTCTTAGCAGTTCCATGGAAATACCTAGAGTTAATGTCCCCAGATTTTAACCAATGAGATTTCGCTCTTTGAGACCAGAAAACCTCTTCACGGTGCAGAACCTCATCAAGCGTACGCTGCACAAACTCAAACTGTTCAATATTACCTCTGATCCGAAGATTCTCAAGTTGCATTGTCAACTTCTTTGCATCCTACCTAAACCGAAGCTTTAATCTCCTACCCCAGCTCTGTAAGCGTTCTCCACAAGTTTTTATCTTCCCTATTACATCAACGCCCTCATGACAAGTCCAACTATCTCTAACCACAACGTCTACATCAGATTCCTCTAGCCAAATATTCTCGAACCGAAAACGGTGATGTCTCAAACTGTCGGTTTTGGGAGAGGTAAGAATAAAAAGAGGAGAGTGATCAGACTTACTTGATACTAAGTTCTGGACCTGATAATTTGGAAAATGATTCTGCCAAGTGATGTTTCCCAAAGCTCTGTCTAATCTTTCCTCAACCCGGTGATGACCACTACCATGAGCCCAAGTAAAAGGGTACCCAGACATTCCCAAATCAACTAGACCACAGTGAGCCACGGTATCCGAGAAACCCTGTAATAAGCATGGAGGGTGAGGATGACGCCATTTCTTTTCTTCAGCGAACATTAGGTCATTAAAGTCTCCACAAATTAACCAGGGAAGAATTTCTTTTCTTCAGCGAACATTAGGTCATTAAAGTCTCCACAAATTAACCAGGGAAGATTTTCCAACCCCGCTAAGGAGCGAAGGACATTCCATGAAAGTTGCCGACGGTATCTTTCCGGCATACCATAAAAACCAGTGAGACGCCAAATAAAGCCTTCAGCCGCCCTAATTTTTGTATCAATAAAATGTGAAGAATATCGGATAACTTCTAAATTAACCTGAGAATTCCACAAAATTGTTAAACCACCACTACGTCCCACTGCGTCCACGGCAAAGCAACAATCGAAATGAAATCTACATCGGAGCTGCTCAATTTTATTCAAAGCAACTAGATTTTCAGACAGAAAAATAACAATTGGCTTATTGCATCGAATAAGTTCATAAAGTGCATTTACTGCTCGAGAATTGTCAGGTCCGCCACAGTTCCAACAAAGGATATTCATTGTTCAAGGAGAGCCTCTGGGTGCCAAAAGGCAGGTAAAGTAAACCTCATAGCATCCAAGTTCGAATGCACATAGAAAACTGGTCATAATCTCAATAGAAAAAAGCCACTCATGCAAAAATGCAAGACAGCTCACATGCCACAGACGCAAGACTTACAGTTTTTTTTCTTTTTTTTTTATTTTGCTTTTCTTTTTTTTTTTTTTTTTTTTTTCTTTTTTTTTTTTTTTTTGAGAGTTTTTTTTTTTTTTTTTTTTGAGAGTTCAAGACTTACAATTTGATAGATCTGGATGACGAAAAAATCGCGAAACCCAAAACACCCAAATCCAGTTCAGTCGGCGTTAGCTTGATCGGAAACTAATTGAACACAGGGGCTGGCGAAGCTGTTTGCGGCAGTGGAAGGATGCAAATCGCCCGATCTTTAGTTGCTCTGGCCGGAGAAAACAGAGGGAAGCGCAGGAGGAGGCTGCCGGTGGAAGTGAAATCACAGCTGGCTCTTGATTCACTCGTCTGAAGAGGAGGAAAGATAAGCGGTGGAGAGACGGAGCAAGGAGCTCAAGTGACCGAAAAGAGGGAGAGAGGGAGAGAGAGATCAGAGGGAACGGCAGTGGCAGGGAGGTGATGGCTGAGGTTGCTGTCGGAGATGCTGCGTTCTCCGTGGTATTTTCTTTTTCTTTCGCATGTTTTTTCTTTAAAACATTCTTTTTCTTTTTCTTATATATATATTTTTAAATATTTTAATAAATCAATGTTGTTAAATCAAGACTTCAGTCGTCGTTTCTCAGTCATCGTTGCTCTCCCTTGTTCATCCATCGTAGAAAATGATCAAACTCTCGTTATCGTCGGTTGATCCGTCAGAGTACATTAAGGCCATAATTTCAATGTTAGCTATGATACGTCAAGGCGAATCCATTGAGGATGATCGCATAACCAGCTTCACTGAAAAGTTTCTTGACGATTTCAGCATTTCAGAGCGATATGAAACACTAATTCAGTCTGGTATTCTAGAGACTTTCGTTGCACTGTACAAATGCGAAAATATCACCACGCACAGAGAGAAAGGCAAAGAGTATATTCTATATCTGCTGAATTTGATTGCTTCGACTCATCTAACTAGTTGCCTTGACGAACGTGCCTCTGTCGTCTTAGAATTATGTTTGTTTTTGAGCAGCAAGGGTGAGGATCCTCTCTACTTACTAACGATTCGTCGTTTAAGAGAATTAGCAGAAAAGCGTAAGGATGTGCTCCGTTTTAAGCTTAAAATGGAAACAATTTCCCAAATTTCATTCGTCGTTGAAGATTTGCAAGACAGGTTGAATTTCATTCGTCGTTGAAGATTTGCAAGACAGGTTGATACGGGATTTAGATTTGTGCAACACTTCATCTTCAAGCAAGGAGAATGCAGGGTCGTTTTTGGATGATTTTAAGGACTTCAAGGTATTTTCAGGCCTTTTCTGTCACTTAATTCAAGAATTGAACCCTTCTCCTATTCCAGCTATTAATTCTATTTATGACGGGAAAATCGATTCTCTAAATAGTGTATTTCGTAAATTGTTGAATAAGATGGAGCACCTGCTTGAAGCACTTCAAATAGACTATATTGGCAAAGAAAATGTCCGACCTGAGTGGTCCCTGTATCTTGCCATTTTAGAAGAACTGAATTTCATATCTAAAATTTTTGAGGATGCAAACGAAGAATTTTGGGATGTATTAAAGAAGACGAAGGTTTCAATACGTGCACTGATTCTTCGATGCGCTGGTAGAACAGATGGTTATGAATATGGGTGGCTTCTTAAGCATAATGATGTGACTAATTCTGAATCCAGGATGCATTTAGCCTTGTTGATGATACCTCAAGTAAAAGAACCTGATGTGAAGACGATTAAGAAGGTTTTTGATTGGTCTCAAAACAATCTACCCGCTAATCTGTTGGGAGTTTTCGTGAATGAGGAACTTACAGATCCTCAATTTTTGAAGGATTGGTTGTGTAAGTCCAGTAGAGCTATATTCAACTCAGAAAATCCCCTTTTCCTGGCACGTCCAGATGATGCTACGAGGTTCTATCTGAACCACGGTAAATTTCCAAACTTGCTTTTTCTGAATACGATATTACTGAAATAATGACACTAGTATATAATGGAATTAATACCATTTCTTTCATATATACATGTGCATAAACAGAGCTCATCCCACAATTCTTTCACCGTGAATGTGTGAAATTTGCTGGAGAAGTGATTGCATTAGCTTTGATATATAAAGTGAGAGTAGGTGTCACATTGGATCCTGAGTTGCTATCGCCCTTTAAGGTTTCATCTTTGGATAGTAAGAGCCTGGTAAGTTCAATAATTCACAAGACTTGAGATTCTTTTCAAGGGAATTTGTGATACAGCAAGGTTCTTGAACTTTCCACTGTTATCTACAAGCAGGTATCATGTTTCTCAAGTGGCTTTTTGAATGTTTTTGGTGTGTCAATCGAAGAATTGAGGCGTGTTGGAGGTTTAGAGATTGAAGACATTAATAAAGAGTTGCATGGACCCTGGAGATCTAATCATAGTGCAGACAGTACTAAGATCTAATCATAGTGCAGACAGTACTAATGGCAAAAGGAAGAAGTAAGTTGATACCGATCCTCTATTGTCTTATTACCAAAGGGTAGGGGCTTTTCCCTATGTATGTTCTAGCTTTCTGTTGCATAACACTTTGTAGGGTTTGGGTCTCTCCAGCCATTCTATAGTTTTCCTAGTCTAAGTTTGTTATTGTTAAATTGTGATTAGTACTAGTTTTGTTATTTTGTTAAATTGTGAATTAGTACTAATGTGACCAAAACTTGGACTTCAACCTAACTTGTAGGTTTTGGGGTCTTCCCAGCCCTTCTAAGTTTTTTCCTAGTTTAAGTTTTGTTAGTTAATTGTGATTGGGTAACTAATGTGACAAAACTGGACTTCAAGCCAATGTATCGTACCATATTACAATTTTTAAGAAGGGTTCTTAAGCTTGGGCCAACCAATTAATTAAAAATATTAGTACTAACGCTAATTGGTAAAGGCAACTTTCCACCCTTGTATGTTTTTTCATAGATGGTTTCAATTTGGGATTCTTAACAATAGTACTGGTCAGTGCCTAACAATAGCAGAAATGTTAGTCCTATTACTTTCAACAATAGTGCCAAAAGTGCTCAATTCATCTTCAACTTGCAAGAACTTACTCCAATAAGTTGAAGACCAGTTTTCTCACATCAGTACTAATCACTATTCAACTTGCAAGAACTTAATCTACCAAGTTGAGATGAGTTTAGAAGTTTTAGCACTCATGCAGAAAACATGTTGAATACTTGGCAGGTCAAAATACTGGGTCGTGATATTCAGAATTGGCAAAGGGGCTCAATGTTGGGGAGTGGGTCATTTGGAGAAGTCTATAAAGTAATGGCTGATCCTCATGGGTTCCTTTTTGCTGCAAAGAAAGTTCCACTTACTGATGCACAAAAAGTCAGCTCAATTGAGCGTGAGATTGATTTATTATGTCACCTACGTCATGAAAATATAGTTGAATATTTTGGCACAAAAAGGGACGAAACAGATCTCTATGTGTTTCTTGAGTTTGTAAATGGGGGCTCCATTATTGAGAAAGTTTATCGAGAGTTTCCCCTTAATGATTCCCAAGTGTCCTACTACACCAAAGAGATACTAAAAGGTTTGGAGTATCTCCATGAGCAAGATGTTGTGCATGGGGACATTAAATGTGCAAACTTACTGTTGAATGAGAATGGAGTCGTGAAAATTGCTGATTTTGGATTAGCAAAGGTAACTGACTTGAAGACTCTTCGCAAGTCAGGTAGAGGGACTCCAGCCTGGTGCGCTCCTGAGGCTCCTGAGGTCATTAATTTGAAGAGACAAGGATGGAATGGATTCCAAGCTGATATATGGAGTCTTGGCTGCACTGTCTTGGAGATGTTAACTAAAAACCACCCGTACTATGGTTTAGAACCTTGGACGATATGGTATCAGATTGGAGAAGGTATACTGCCTAAAATTCCTGAGACTCTCTCTGAGGATTCGCAGAAATTTATTCTGAAATGCCTGCAAGTTAATCCAGAGAAACGTCCGACTGCCACCGAGCTTTTAAAGCATAGATTTGTTAATAGGTCATAGCAAGCAGCAGAACATACCAAACTTCGTGTTAGTTTCAGCTTAAATTGTGGAATTTACTCAATGTTTAACAGCAGTTTTTTCTTTAGTGCTAAAGGTTTGCTTCAGATTTATTTTTAGCTTCAGATTTTAATTTTTAAGAATTGCTCATCCTTTTATTAATAGAAAATATTAATTATTTGTCATTATCATTGATAAAATATCTGTTGTTTTTTTAGGATCATTAAACTTGCTAAATTAGAATATATAATTGTTAACAGAATATTTTGATGCAACAGATAAATACTTGTTTGGTTATTTTTAACAGCTATGTCAATTGAAGCAACTAAGTTCTTGTTACATGTCTACATCATTTTGAATAGCTCCAGTCCCAACCAGCATCATTGGAAGTTACGAAACAGCCACACCATAGAGAAGTTTTGAAAACCTCTTATAAATGTTTAAAAACAGCAATTTCACATGTTAGAAAAGACTGTGAGTGATTCCAGCACCAGATGAGGAATTGCATAACAACTCAACAGAGGAGGATATGGGCTACAATCCCTTTGAAGTCGAGATTACTGTAAGGGAGGAGGAACTTGCACGTGCAATATTATTACCTGGCATATCCTCTCTCTATTTTGGAGCAATATTCAAATGCTCTTTCAAATGCTACTGATATAATAGTATTCTTTTTTTCTGGGAAAAGATATCCTGCTGCGAAATGTGTTTTCCTAAGATCTGTAAATATTAAATTAGCGTCGTCTCAATGGGTCAATTCTTCCTCATGAGGTAGTTAGTCAAATGGCAATATAAATCACTCTCATTTTAGAAGATGTAAGATGAATGTCCAAACTATAGGTTTTTTTCCTTTTTCTCTTCCTTCCAATCTTTTTTGTAACTCTTCTTCATCTTTTTTTTGTAGGCCAAAGAATGGCTAGAACTGAAGGTATCAGGACAGAGTTTGGATTACCATTTGAAAGAGGACGTTATGCCAAGGCAACCAGACTTTGATATCTTACTTAGGTGGCAGTTGAATCGCCTAAATCCAATATTGCAGGTTATTTCATTTGTTCTTTTTCCCCATTTTTCCTTTATACGTGATTGCATTCACTATTGATACAGTTCTTATGTTATATTGTAGATGGAGTTGCAGGGCATTTGGCTAGTTATGCTACTATATATACATGGTGTTGTAAAGCATATAACAATCATGGAAAAAAGCGTTACTTATGAAAGACAAGTACTACAAAACGTCAATGATTATTTGAGGCAAACTCGGGAAAATTCTTTCAATGTACCGTGAAAAATGTTGCTTAAACCTGGATAAGAAGTTGCAATATCTAGGTTTATATTTCAGTGCCATCAACTAATGAAGAAGGGTTGGGAAGTTCTGTTGTTCTGCTTCCGATCTGAAATTTTCTCTTTGATGTTGAGTCTAGCTACTTGAGTTAGTATCGAGGGCCAGCTCCCAATTCTCCCCAGCTGCATCTCCATTGATGAACCAATCCACAATCATTATCATGACTTCATTCACTGTCAAACTAAACTTGGTTTTTGGTTTTCACTTGCAGAAAGCGAGCATAACTAATACGAACTTGCTAGGCTTTTGCGTTGCAATCATATCATGTAAAGTATACATGTAGACATAATATACACAGGCTAGCTAATTAGTTACAGGCATAGGGCTCTCGATTGAAACTCTGGTTCACACTCCGATGACTCCTTCTGCAACCCGACTATTATCCTGTAGTGAGTGTTAATCATGACAGACAATCTTACAGCATTGCAGTGAATTCAATATAAATTCTAGTAAAGAAAGAGGGGTTGCAAGTATGCAATACCTTAGAATTTGTTAACTTCATTTGGTGAAAATTACACCCAATTGCACCATCCCCATAAAGAATTTTTGCTCCACATCCTGGTGCATCCACTGACCCAACAGCCTCTTCATCAACCAAAACTGCAGTAATATAATTGGTTCCTGTCTTGTTCTCTGGCACCTGTAACCAGATAATAATTAGCATAACAAATAAAATATACTCCCAACATTTAATGTACTCGAAATGTACTCGACGGATCAAGAGTGGTAGAATTTGAAATCGAAGTATACCTCATACATTGCTTCTGTAAGAATATTTTCTAAGATAGCTCTCAATCCTCGGGCACCGGTGTTCTTAGCCATTGCTTTCTTGGCAATCAATCTCAACGAATTCTCAGTAAAATGCAGTTTGACCTGAAAGATTATAGAGATGACAAGCAAAGCATAATTGGCCCCATATATCAGCATCAATTATTACACATAAAAGGAGAAGAGAGCAGAAAGGTTTCCCATGCATAGCAAGGAACAAAAACTTACATTATTCATATTGAACATCTTCTTGTACTGTTTCTTGTACTGTTTTCCGAAAGCATTTTTTGGCACCATAAGGACCTATGGAACAACAAAAATTGCATCATATTTTGTCAGTTTCCTTCAAAAAAACTGAGCTCATTAACTTGAAATTGCAAGTTTCTCTGCCTGCAACATGCCCATCAAGTGGAAGAAGCATTATCACCCCATAAAATAACACAAAAGATAAAATTCTACATGAATCAGGAAACAGAACCGCCACAGCAATCATCAAAGAAAAAGGAAAAACATATGGCATCAAAGAGGTGGAAAATACCTGAACCAGTTGGTCCTCATTCAATGCTGATAAGCTCACTAATATCGGGAAGCGTCCAACAAATTCAGGAATCAGGCCGTATGCGATTAGATCACCACTTTCTACCTGAAAGTCCACACAAAACTTGAGTATCTACTTGAAGGGACTAGGAAGCGACACCCCTTCCCTAGCTCTTGAGTTAATTAGTTCAGGAGAATGTATAATTATTAGAATAAGCCAAAGTGATATCAACCCAAGGACCAAAAAAAATCAAATATTATAATAGGAAAACTTGACTAGGTATAGGGGTTTAGTTCTCACAGATTCGTTTAGTTTCTCACAGATTCCAGCAATGATGATGTACAGCAGCCATCAGTCCTTCCCATCCAGTCCCCTCAATGTTTCACGACTGGTGCTCCACAAGCGAATGGAAAGCAATCTTGTCGTCTTAGAAAAAGAATTAGAACATTCAGAGTCAAGAAATCCTCGGCAACAAATGCTATGAGCACACATCTAAATAGGGAAATTACCTTTCTGAAATGGTTTTCTCCAAATTAACAAATGCCCCACCACATATGAAAAGGATATCTTTTGTGTCCATCTGTAATCATCACATCAAAGTTCTAAGATGCACAAGAAAGAAAAGCCTCTTAAGGAAAAAAAATTAAAACAGCTGGAAAAAAACAAACATTTTTTATTTTTTCGGTATTCTTGATGCCTTTAAAGTATCAGGACATTATCCTTGCACTGCTGTTCAAGAAAAGGCATGAAGTAAAAGAGGCACAGTGCTTCTCAAAGCCACAACTGCAGCACGAAAAACCTATAAAGAATGGCATCACCTCATCCTTGAAGGTTACAGCTTAGTAAGGACACAATGTCACCATGGTTATTTTTCAAAACATGTCTAATTTTTCTCTATCACAGCATATTATTTCCATTTGGGAAAAAGAACAAACAGAAATCATTTCCATTGTTGTTATTTAGTAGTGAAGAATCAATAGAAGTGTCTGCAGCACCACCATTCCATTGGTGGCACCAAACTTGATTCGCAATACAATTGAACACAACACACAAGTCAAAGTGGCAACCAAAGTGGCAACTAGTATTTATGTCTGGTCTTGTTCCCTATTGACCCAAGGCAGGGTCCCATGTCTAATTTTTCTCTATCACAGCATATTTTATCCATTTGGGAAAAAGAACAAACAGAAATCATTTCCATTGTTGTTATTTAGTAGTGAAGAATCAATAGAAGTGTCTGCAGCACCACCATTCCATTGGTGGCACCAAACTTGATTCGCAATACAATTGAACACAACACACAAGTCAAAGTGGCAACACAAGTCAAAGTAAGTGGCAACAAGTATTTATGTCTGGTCTTGTTCCCTATTGACCCAAGGCAGGGTCCTATGTAACCAAAAAATGTTGTCAAGGGTTTTGTTTTTCATTCAAACCATGAATTGCAAAAATTAACTTCCAAATGTACTAGATCAACCATGTTAATTTACTTTGTGAAAACACCTTCAGTCATGAAAAGGTAAGAAAAGCACGTCAGTAAATTTTCCATTGATTCTGGAAATTTTCATATCAATCCATTTCAGGCATGTTGAGAGGAAGAAATGGAGTGTTCCATGAAGTTGTAGAACTGCAGTTTTTAGATTTGTTGTTTTAGCACTTATCTATCTCCCAATCAAACTAAAAAAACACAAATATATCCAAATTCACAAATACATTGACAACAGCTTAACAAACTAAAATGCATAACACTAGAAAACAAAATCCTAAGCAAACCCATTATGTCTCAATTACATAAGCATAAACAAGTAAACATACGGCACTAAACACTACTTTCATTTGTCGAAACCCTAAATAGTTACCATCAACCCATCGAAAAGAAACTATCAAATATATTACAGAACAGAAAACACTAGAAGCTGACCTGAGCAGCAAAATCGAAAGCGGATAACCGCAATAGCAAAGAAAAGAACGAAACAAAAGTAGAAAGCGAAATTAGTTTTTTTTTCCATTGTACATTGACAGCTAAAGCAGAAAGAGAGAGGAGATCGTACCGCGAAAAGAAGAGCTTGATTGATTGAGAAATTGTATTATCGAAAGTAAAATTGATTTGTTTATAGTCCTAGCTGTTTACTTGTTTTAGTTATATTTGATCCAACGAAATTAATTTTTGTATGCAAAATTATATTATATATTTTAGGAAAAAAAATACAATTATAGTCAAAATGTCAAAATAGTACATGAAAGCTAGCTATGGAAGCAAGTTGAGGTTTCGTGGGGGTACCCAACCTAAAAATCTATTTAAAGCAGGTTTAGGTGTTGATTAAATATATGAGTATCAAATTAATTATTTTTATTAGGTTTGTGTTGGACATGGATGTAAAGTTATGGGTAACTTCTGCCCACCAAAACTCATTGCATAGTTTAATATTTATTAAATATAATAAAATTCAAGTAAAAATTTATATATATATATACTTAAAATTCAGTAAAAATTTATATATATATATATATATATTGGCGTATTTTTATTAAAAAATAAAATAAATAAAAAATCCAACCTAAAGCTCCAATCACTATATCATAAATACTAAAAAAATAATTAACTTGCACTCCATAATGCACATAAGCTGGCTCCAACTTAAATAATAAATTCCAGCCTCTTAATAATAATTCCAGCCTCTGTTATGAATTTTGCAAGGAATCTAACATTCTGCACAAAAAACTTTCCACTTAATTTAGATTCACACCACAATTTCAAGGATTAATTTGGGATAGTCACAAGTCGATTTTATGTTTAGAACTAGTTTTTGAAAAATGATAAATGAAAAGTAAAAGCATTCAACTAAGAAATTATTCTAGGAAGAGGCAGCAAAAGGAGAATCACAAAAGCAGCAGGAGCCAGGCATCTAACCAAGGGGTTTATGACAGAATTATATCATTTTGAAATATATTTTATAATGCAGATTTATCTATACTAAACAAGGGTAAATAACAATAGGTGTTGAATTAATTAAATAATAGTTAAAATATCTTATTCTACATGGGTGTATATTGGTAAGGACGCATATCAAATTGATATTTCACAGCTAAAAAAAGTTAAATGAGGGAGACATAAGCACCATCTAAAAAAAAATTGCAACCTCCATGATCCCCACTACAATAAAAATAAGGTTGAGGAAACTATCTCTCATCATTACCTCGAAAAAGATTTAAAATCAAAATCTTTTTATAATAGATACTCTTAAGGGCTTAGTTTTTATTATCAAGTTATAAGCCACAAATATGAATATGGAGACATTTACAGAATCAGTTGACAGAAGATTCAGAACTTCAGACCAAAGAAAAGCTTTTAAATATAGACATCCTCTTTGATTCTTTTAAGAATCTTTTTCTTAGTGAATTTGTCATTCTCTTCTGTTGAGTATATAGAACAGAAAACACAAACACATACACATCCTTAAGTTCTCTTACAGAAACACTTCCTCAGAAAAAAAAAAAAAAAATCTTTGCTTTTTATTGTCCCATTCATTATCTATCATTGTCTGATAAACTCTCTGCCACATATTACAAGCATCAAATCTGAGAATGAATCCAACTGGATTGTTTTAGGCTTTTAGTTTAGGAATCCAAACTGGATTGTTTTAGGCTTTTAGTTTAAGGAGGCAACTTTTTGGCAACTTTTTGTCTCAATGTTTTCAAAGATGTATTTATTTTCAAATTTCAATTGATTGTAAACAGTTAATTGAATGTGCTGATCTAGTTTAATCTGGCTTTTCTAGTTCTAGAGATTTATATTGTCTTAACTAGTTTTAGTAGACAGGCTGATGACTGGTGAGGATCATTTGATTGGCTATGGCAATAAGCACGGACATCTTACCATTTTGTAACATTGAAGTAGTATCATGCAAGATGTATGCTCCCTGAATTTTGCAATTACATTAAGTAAGATGGTGTTCTATTCCCACCAAATTACCAATCCAGCTGATGAGCCAACAGCTATAAGAGCAATGGCTAACTCATAATCAATGGGAATACAAAACCTAATCCAGGTACTAATATAAGCAACTCATAAACAGCATTTACAGTTACAGGCTTTAAACAAATCATAAATAGCAGCATCAGTTTAAACCTAGTTGTAGCACATGAAACAAAAACTATACGCAAAGCTCACCCGGAAATCAGCTTTTCTGAGAACTTCCTCCGTTGTTACTTCAAATTCCTGTCTTCTAGGAGGTTTACGATTTCCTGGCCTTTTAAGATCGAGATCCTGCAAAAGCATGCAACCTTGAGACAAGACAAACATGTGCATTAAAAAGGCACAAAATGTTCAAAACGGCACCAGCAAAAGAGTGCCAGAGAAAAGAGAGCACACTTATTGATGACATTTATAAGACAGAACAAGATTAACCTAGAAATCCTACTACTTCTATGATCCAAGGAATTTCCTCAAAAGAGATATCAATTGAAAAAAATTTCCTCAAAAGAGATATCAATTGAAAAACCATCACTTTCATAATCGCCAGTATGTCTCAGGTTTAACGGCCAGTTCGAACATGTACTGTATGACTTAATGCAATTATGGACAACATCTATAAACAGTAAAAATACAAAATGCATAGTGCATACAAAATACAATTTAATTAATACCTAAACCATTAATTGAACATATGTCCGCCTGACTTTTTTTTATGCCATAGCTGCAGCTGATTGAGCTGTAGCTTATGTTCTATATCAAAACTCTTCAATCAGAAAGAAACATAAAGTACCATATAGTTAAAAAGGTTTATGCTTTGAAAATACTTGTAGAAACTCATAACATTCAAACTGCAATATTCTAAGTACAGTGTCACGGCTATTCTACTACACGCCTTAACGTCATAAGTTGATCCATGATGAAAATTCATATCTGATCTGAAAACATAGTTATAACTGTCTATTTCGTTAGGATCAAACTCAACATATGTGGCCGCTTCCTTCAACTTTCCACCCATGCCATCAGATACTGAGTTAAAACTCTCATCTAGGCCATCCAAAGTCTGCCGACAAAACCTCTCATCTAGGCTCATCTAGGCCATCCAAAGTCTGCCGACGGTTTCCTTCACTCAGTCTAGAACAGGAAATTTACGAGCTTTCTCAATTCTATCAAGCTTTCGGTAAAAGGAACTGTTATCTGAGGTATTAAATATTCGCAACTCAAACTCATCAATGGACTCAAAGGAATTAGGATTTCCCTTATCACCACTGGGATCACCTGTCCAAATGCCAAAAAAACAATAAAAAACACAATAAGCAACATTAACAGATAGCCGAGAAAGCGAAGATGAATACTCTACTACAGAATTTTTGAAGAATAGCAAAGTGATAGAGAGGTGAACCTGTAGGAGCAGCTGTAGAAAGAGGTTTTATGAAATTGGAGGTGAGGATAGGTGGGATAAGCCTGCTGCTAATAGGAGCGAGTAAGCTGCTGCTATAGGAGCGTAGAGTAACACTGGTTATTCTTCTCATTGATTCCGCTGGCAAGATTGAGAAATAGCATTAGTCTGTTATTAGGGGCGTGCAAAAATTTTCTGTTAATTTGTAAACCGAAATGCACAAATTTGCTGGACCAAAATGCAAGAATTATGCAGCCGCATATCCCCATATATGCTTGCATGTAAAACATAAAAGAACGCAAAAGTAACAAAAAAATAAATCAAAAATCCTCAATTCCACCAACCAAAGATGTAAATAAACACAAAATGGGAGCACAAGCAAGCATAACTATTTCTTCTAATGAGTACAAACAGAATTGCCAATTAACCAAGACGAACCAAATATTTAAGAAAAAAACACGCTCATGATGAAATTTTAAAAAAATTTCAAATTGTCGAAACACAAATATATCCAAATTAACAAATACATTGTCGAAACCCGAAATAGTCGCCATCAACCCAACGAAATGAAATTATCAAATATATTACAGAACAGAAAACCCTCGAAGCTAACATGAACAGCGAAATCGAAAGCGGATAACCACAATAGCAAAGAAAACAGCGAAACAAAAGTAGAAAGCGAATTAGTTCTTTTCCTATTTTCTATTGTACATTGACAGAAAGCAGAGAGAGACCGAGAGATCGTACCGTGAAAAGAAGGAGTTGATTGATTGAGAAATTGTTTTACCGCAAGCAAATTTGATGTGTGTTTTGTGTCCGCTCCTGTTGCTTTTGTATCAGTGACTCGCTCTCACCCTAAAACCCAGTTTTGTTTGTAAATACAGGTGTTCTTTAATCGAAATACTTATTTGCAACAATGAAAATTTAACTTAAATTAATGATCTCATGTATCATGGAGTGAAGAAGAAATGGAAAGTTTAGAACTACACAAATTATTGCTGCCATATCTGACTCAAACAGAGCAAAAAACTGAAGACACCTCTAGAAAGCAATATGACAGAGTTAATAAGTCAATTCATGAGCATCACAACAGCAAGGAACCTCACATTTTCATGGTCCATGTGCAGAAGCATGAGCATCACAACAGCAAGGAACCTCACATTTTCATGGTCCATGTGCAGAAGAAGCTTAATCTCTCGGAGAGTCCCTTTAGCACGTCTCTGGCTATCGAAAGCATTACCAATCTTCTTAATGGCAACTTCCTCCCCTCTCTCGGAATTCTTGGCAGCACTGAAGGAAATAAAAAATCACATCTTCCTTTCCATTGTTGGTAAGACAAAGCCATTGAGTCAAATGTAAGGAAAATGTAATCAGTTACAGTCCACCAGAACAACATTTGTCTGCATACACAACTGAACTGAACCAAAAAATTTAGTTTTTCTGATAAAAACCTGGAGCAGTTGTTCTGTTGAGCACCTCAAACAATAGATAAAAACCTGGAGCGGTTGTTCGTCGTTTAAGATATTTAGCTGAAAAGGGAAATCACGTGCTCCGTTTTAAATATAAAATGGAAACGATTTCTCAGATTCCATTCATCGTTGAAGATTTGCAATACCGGTTGGTTCGGGATTTAGATTGGCGCACCACTTCACCTTCAAGCAAGGAGAACGCAGAGTCGTTCTTGAGTGATTTTAGGGACTTAAATGTATTTTCACGCCTTCCGTTTCAGGCAATTCAAGAATTTAACTCTTCTCCTACTCCAGAGAGTAATTCCATTTGTGAAGGAAAAATGGATTCTCTACCTTCTGTATTTCTTAAGTTGTTGGTAAAGATGGAGCACCGGCTCAAAGCACTTCAGATAGACCATAGTGGCGAAGGAAAGATCAATGACCTTACACAGGAAGAAAAGATTAATGAATAAAATGTCCGTTCGGAATGGTCTCTGTATCTTCCCATTTTGGAAGAACTGAATTTCATTTCTAAATTTCTTGAGGGTGCAGAGAAAGAATTCTGGGGCGTATAAAAGAAGTCAAAGGGTTGCAATACGTGCACTGGTTCTTCGATTCGCTGATAGAAAAGATGACTACGACTATATAAACAGGTATCATGTTTCGCAAATGGCTTTGCCAATGTTTTTGGTGTGCCAATCAAAGAATTGATGTGTTTTAGAGGATTAGAGGTTGAAGATATTAATCAAGTATTGCATGGACCCCAAAGACCTTATCATAGTGCAGAAAATACTAATGGCAAAATGGAGAGGGAAGCCGAGGTTGATCCTCATGGCTTTGCCAATGTTTTTGGTGTGCCAATCAAAGAATTGATGTGTTTTAGAGGATTAGAGGTTGAAGATATTAATCAAGTATTGCATGGACCCCAAAGACCTTATCATAGTGCAGAAAATACTAATGGCAAAATGGAGAGGGAAGCCGAGGTTGATCCTCCGTTGTCTCATTACCAAAAGGTAAGGGCTTTTCCCTGTATACTAGCTTTCTGTTGTCTAAGACTTAGTAGGTGAATTTCACATGTCCTAATCATAAAAGCATCAAAGCAGCTAAACATTAGTGACGTTCATCTAGAAATCAATTTTATAGTATTTTCAGTGCCTAGCAATAGCAGAAATGTGAGTCCTATTACTTTGGCCTTCAAGTCATCACCTTTTCGGACCTTGTCCATACCTTCATTTTTGACTCGGTCGAGGGTTGCCTTACAATGAACCAGTTCGTCCTGCTTTGTTTGATGCTCAGAAAGAAAAAAAGCAGCCGATCCAATGTCATTGGCTATAGCAGTAAAATTACAGGCCATTGTTTTGACTTGGTTTTTGGCCTCCGAGAAAAGATATTTATCACTAGAATGCTCCGCCAAGAACTTGGTGTGTTCCAGAAATTGGTTACTTTGTTGTTCGTCTAGAATGAAAGCAAGGCCTTGCTCTGCAAAGGCACGAACTCGGTCCATTGTTTTGTTCAGCTTGATCGAAAGATCATTAGAATGACCAATAGGCGCAGGAGGACTTTTAGGAACATCTATGATCTTCATTTCATCCTGACCAGGCTCTTCAGCCAAATCATTGATTGAAGAAAAGAAATCAAGCATGTTAGGACCTAGCTCCTGAAATAAATTCTGAAAGTCAATACGAAACCTTTTAAGTGCTGAATAATGGTAAAAAATTTTTGGGGCACTCTAAAATATTTAGTCAATACGAAAAAATTTATTAACATCAGAATGTGAAAATTCACAGGGATCAATTATAAAATGAAAAATGATTTTGGTTATTTACTTAATTGATTATTTTAATTATTTAAAACATGTATACATTTATTTTATTTGTCCAAAATAAAATAGGAATAAAATCATAGAGCCATACATGCTGGCATTGAAAAATAAGAGGTTAAAGAGAAATTACTATAGGTTTATCAGTTTTGGGAGAGGACACTTCCATGACCACATTTGCCACAATAGATCGGACACTCTCAGAGTCAGACTGAACCACCGACTGTGGAGGGATAGCTAAAAGTTGAAGATTGACCCGCGAAGATTTCTTGGAAAGCGACGAGACTACTTTTTCTGGTTCATCTGTCACCTCTTTATCCTTTCTCTTGGAAGAGACTCCTACCTCAGAACCCATGTATTTAATCTTCATCGATCTTGGTGAAGATGTTGCTTGTTCTATCTGAGGAGACGGCATGGAAGCACTAGTTATTTCACTCTTCGAGCCAGGCTGATTTCCGGAAGTTAGTACATAGAGAAAGAGAATCATATAATGGCAAACCGAGTAGTACATTTGATTTTCTTTTCGGAGTTGGTGCCTCTTCCTTTGACTCTAGTTGAAACGGCCAAGCTGATTCTGGACAAATAGACTTCTCAATTGCCTCTGCAAAACAGACAAATGAGCACAAACGAAAACACAAGATTGGTCGATTTCAGGAAAAAATTTTCTCTATCAAATCTTTATTATTTATTTCCTGCTTTCTTATCTTTTTCTTCACCTTCAACGCCTGTGTTTTTCCTTCTAGGTTGGCGGTTTTTCAAGGCCTAAATATCTAAACCTGAATTAATGACTCCTCCGAGTCTACACATTCAAACATGTTAGTTTCATTACTCAATTAAAGTCTACACTTATCACTCTTTCATCCAATTTAGGGTGAACACAATGGTAAATGGACATGCTATAAATATGAACATCTCTAGAAAAGTTCGAGGTCATATTCTCACCTGATCACCATCTGCTACCCGCCTTCGGTTAAACTTTTGTCTAACACAGTTTACTACAGCTATGAGGTGTGACTCTCAATAGGATGTGGATTAAACTCACAAGTATAAGAAGATTTTCAAGATAGGATTTAACAAAAGAAAAAAAAAAAAAAAAAAAAAAACAATTCTATAGAAAAGTTCGAGGTCATATCTCACCTGATCACAATCTGTAACCGCTTCGGTTTATACTTTGTGTCTAATCAGTTTTACTACAGCTATTAAGATGTGACTCTAAATAGGATGTGGAGGAAAAAACTACACAAGGTATAGGGATAATGAATAAAAGAGATATTCAGATAGAGATGTTAAACAAAGAAAAAAATAAAAAAAATAAAAATAAGATTGGAACTAGCAAATATTTCAGAGAGTGGAGAACATTTCTGTAAGTAAGGACTGAGAAGTTACACGTCTAACTTTCATACTTGTTTTCAAGAAAAAAAAAAAAAAAAAAAAAAAAAAAAAAAATTGGACCTACCAAAAGTTTCAGAAGAGTGGAGAACATTTCTGAAGAAAGCTGAGAGATCTACTCGCTGACTTTCATACTTTTTCAAGAAAGGATCTTCCTGGTATTTGCATTGAAAGGTCTCAATCGGCACATGTTTATATGTTTATATAAAAGAATGAAAAGATATAATTTCCTATACCAAAAGTTGACGTGCTGATTTTCTGTCTTCTGGTTTTTTCTTCAAACTGAAAAGGATAATTAATTCCAGGATGGGAAATATAACTAATTAAAAAGAGAACAGAAATGGCATGCAAAAACCAACTATTATATAATGTATATACACAATTTTCAAAATTAGAAAGAACGGAAAACAATAACAGGCACCAGTGTAATTTGAACAGTTTATTTTCTTCCAGATTACTTCATACTCATAAGAATGGATCTCCAGGATGATAAATATGCAAAGACATAGAGGTTATGGATATTATATAATAAACATGAAAAGCACTATCAAAAATTATTTTGTAAATAAGTCTTATGGAAGCACCATAATCTTTACTTACCATGAAGATATGAAGAAGCAAAACGCTGGAGAAAATTGATTAGAAGGTGCACGAGGTGGTTCTTGGTTAACAACAGTCTTCAGAAATACCAAACCCAGGCTCCAAATGTCGCTTTTGTGGTCATATCTCTGTTCTTCAATTCTCTCAGGCTACGAAACAAACAATCACACATGTATGAAATTTCAAGTGCAAGCAGAACAATTGTGGAACTTTGTAGCAATAAGTAAGTGCAAAGATTCTAACAAAAGGAGGAAAAAAAAAAACAGCATCACCACAGGTACAGCTAAATACTCACAGCCACATAGTAACTTGTCCCCATATAAGTAGATGCTTGTCCATAGGTTTTTGCCACAGTTGCACTCACACCAAAGTCACCGATCTTGGCTTCTCCTCTCTGATTTATCAATAAATTGGAGGGTTTCAAGTCCCTGTGAATGATGTGTTTTTCGTGATGATTAAGATACGATAAACCCTCAAGCACCTGCAGTAGTAGGAAAAGGAATAAGGAAAACAAATGGATGTAATATAGAAATCTATAAATTGTATGATATTCCAAAATGTTTCACCTGCTTACTAATGGCTGCAAGATACTTTTCTGGAATTTTTTTGGCTTTTTTCCGAAGATCTCCCCAAGTTCCGCAATCCATGTACTCCATGAGAATTGAAAATTCACCGTTGGCATAGAAAGACTCGTAGTACTTGACAACGTATGGACATTCCAGTGAATGATTAATTTTCAATTCCTGGGTAATTAATTTCAGTGCAGTCTTATCGAGGTTCAATTTTATAACCTGAATACAAATACAGGTTAAAATTGATGAGACTTTTCATCGACACCAAATTGAGTGTCAAAAATTAAAAAAGGATAAAAGAGTAGTAAATAATAAAAAAATTTAAAATAACAAAACACTTTGTATTATTATTGTCTATCGGTAAGCTTTTACACTGGTCATAGTGTAGGTAAATCATTCTCATGCTTTCATATTTAAGTGCATAAAGGAGAGAATAGGTACTGAGAAAAGCAAAAATAGGGTTAAATGTGCCATACCTTAAATGCAAATAACTGTTCCTTGTTCTTGTGTTCCACTAACCACACAATACCACACAATACCATTTGACTCCCCAATCTTCTTAATTTTGCGTATATCTGCTAAATTCCATTGATTGTCCGATGCCGAAATCGGGAGAGCCTGAAGACAAAAATACACATAAAAGAACAAACTTTTTTCTTTTCTCTTTTCTATTAAGCTTAAAACAAAGGTTGAGGTGGAAGGTTACTTGCCCTTTAAACAAAGGGGAAAGTTGCAATCAATTCTTTTACCCCTTGTTTGGAAAGGAGAGGAACCATAACAATGGAGGAAGGAAAAAATAATTAGAATTTGTCTATTTTCTTTGCGCTATTTTGCACACTTTTGTTTGGATATAATGATTTTTTTTTTTTTGAAAAGGACAAAATTTTAAAGAAAATAAAATATTATTATTGGAAATTGAGGTGTAGAAGGACATAGAAAAGTTTGCTTTGTGCCATTTAATCTGCTTTTTTAAAGATAATAGCATACCTACGGTTAATTGTAATTGGAAAAATTATAATTTTATGTTTTTTTTTTTTTCAAAAGTAACTATTTTATCCTTGCTTAGTGGAGAATATATTATTTTATATCTATATTTTGATTATGTTTAATAAATCAATCCTTTTGTTAAATATTTCTATTTTTACCGTTAAATTTAAATGAAAATACTAAAATATCTTATATATATTGCATTAAAGGATATTAGTCGTTTGTTCTTTCATCCTCGCATGACTTTTTTTTTTTTTCTCCTCACCTCTTTGAACTGTTTTAATCAAAACCCCTTATTATTTGATGTCAAGATCTCTAGTCATAAGATCACGACAGAATTGAAGGATTAGGGTTTTAGGAAAATGTGAACATAAGAAAATTGAGAGAGAGGAGAAGAGAAGAGGAAGAATAAGAGATAAAAAGAAAATTATATTGTGATTCATTGGTTGATTGTAAAAATATTGGCGAAATACATAAAATTCACATAAATTTCACCTGTGAATTTTGATACTTGTGGTATCCTTAACTTTTATTTTGACTTATCAAATACTTTAACTTATAAAATTACATATGTTAAGCATTTCAATTCTCAAATTTATTTTATTGAATATTTCAACTTGCAAAAGTTTAGATAAAATAAAGATTCGTTAAAAAGTTGAAATTTATTAAAATTATTGTTTTAAAAGTCATGTTAATTATATATTAAGTTAATATTTTACAGATAAAAGTTAAAAATCCTAAAAAATATTGATATTAGTGTCAAAAAGTGTGTAATATTATCAAAATTTACAAGTTAAAATGCAAGATAGGTCATCTACAAAATTCTGAGTGCCACAAAGTTAAAATTACAAAGTTCAGGGGTAAATTTATGTATTCAGTGTAAAAATATTGTTAACACCTCACATTTATAGTTTGACCCATATGGAATACACATAACTCAGCATTAATAATTTTTTGACACTTTCTCTTTTAGCATTAGATGTGTTTCTTAATTGATATTACTCCTGTAGTGGTAAATTTGACCATTTTTAACTTTTTATGAGAAATAAAAAATCAAACCACGTCAAGTTTTAAAAACAATAAGAGTAATTAACTAAAGAAAAAAGTACATTACGTTCTCTGTGGTTTACGAAATATAATTAGTTCATTGTCTTTTTCAAAATATATCAATTCGTCTCTATATTTTGTTTTCGTTATACTATTATGTCCTTAATTTAATCTATTTTTTGAATCTTTTCTATTAAGTTAATAAGAAAACATAGAGTTTTAATGAGAAATACTAAAATATTATATAAAAAAAAATTATAGTACGATCTCTATGGTTTAAAAGAGATATTTTCGTTATTTTATAAGATACTTAACGGCAAAAATACAAAAAATAGATGAAAAATCTTATAGACCGACGAAAGTAAACTATAAAAATGTTTTAATTTATTTTTTTAAAAAGATTGAGATAAATTAGTTATCTTTCCCGATCCACATGAATCCTACTGTGCTTTTTCCTTAATTAAATTATCTTTTAATTCAAAGTTAATGCAAATATACAGAAAATGGTAAAATTAAAATAAAATATTGAACGCTATTTTGATTGTTTAAATGAAAAAAAAAACGACTCACCCTCACCCACGTCATATAATTAGTCCAACAATCAGAAGTAATTACTCGAACGTACATGTAAGTTCATACTGTGTGTTATCAAATAAAATTCGTTCTTGTCTTTTTCACTATATTCGTCTCTATTTTTGTTTTCGTTAATTGAAGAAGCTTTGTGGATCCAATTTAGATTTTAATTCTATTTATTTGACACTCTTTTCAAAAATTAAAAGTTAATAAGAACATAGAAGTTTAAATAAAAAGAAATCTAAGAAAAATATAATAGTGAAAAAAATAATGATTTAATATAGTAGAACAATGCTCTATGGTTTTTTAAAAGAAAAGGGAATTATTCTTCGTTTAAATTGTTTATATAAAAGATACTAAACGACAAAAAAAGATACAAAATAGGATGAAAAAATCTATATTAGATTCCAATGAAGGATTCGAAATAAAAGCTAATTTAAAGAATTTTAATTTAATTTTTTAAAAAAAAAAGAATTGACTGCAAATAAATTTATAAGTTTTTTTCCGCGATATATCCACTCGAAATCTACTGTGCTTTTCTTAATAAAGATTAGCTTTTAATTCAAAGATATCATATATGAAATATACAGGAAAAGGAATGGATAAAAATTAAATAAAAGAATAAATGAAACGCTATTTGATTGCTGATAAGAATAGATAAAGAAAAATAAGTTAGAAAAACGTGTACATATATTGAGAAAATAATGTTATTTTTGTTGAGAGGAGAGGTAATATATAGTTAAAATATTCAATAGTTATGTTTGGGTTTGTCTTTCTCAAGTTACAAAGCCTGGAAATAGTAGATTAAGGGTTGGATCTTTTTAAGACTGTGGTGGATTTAATAAAAAGTTTGACTTAGGGATGTTAAAATGGTTGTATCCTATCTGAGAAGAATCAATCACTCTAAACCGGTCGCGTATGAAATCAAAAATTAATGCGGGTTATGTTATACTAACGTATATTGGCATAAGAAACGGAGGCCGGGAAACTAGTCACAAATTAACAGCTCTTCTCTGAGGACAGAAAATGAAGGCCGGCGCATTGTTGACGGGTGGCTGCGGGCTTCCAGGCATGCGAGGCGCGTGACTAACAGCTCAGGGTTGACGGATATCGGTTGATTTACAAATCGAACTGAGTAAGGGCAATATTTGTAAATCATTACAATAAGATGTGCATGGGGAAGTATCCATATAATGAAGCTATGGCTGCTAGTCTGCTGAGATTTTTTTATGTTACAATTTTTCGGCAACTTGAAGGTACCAAGCCATTGATCACATACTAAGATTTATTCGGTTTTGTATTCTTGATCGCCATATTGACGTGGGCTTTATATGCATTAAGAAAAAGTAGGTGGGTGAATGAAATGAACAGGGCAAGCAGGCGAGACAATTGGTAGCTTTGAGGGAGTATTTGTTTTGCATTTGAGGTTTGTGGAAAATTAAGAACACAGGTGATTAACTTGAATGACGTGCTTTGAGAATAATACTTTAACAAGTAGCTAAATGCCAAAGGTTTGAAAGAGAAAGATGGAATGTACGTAAGGATTAATGTTAATAATAGTTTAAGTCTTCAATTTAAAGATATTTGGCGGAAAAAGGCAAAATTTGTGAACTATCTTATGATACGTAATAAAATTAAAATTTTAACCGAGATGCAAATTATCCACATTTTTGAGAAACAGATTGAGGGAAATATAAAATATATAGTGAATGGAAGGTGAATAAGATAGGTATGCGCATATCAGTGGCATCATACTTCAAATTCACAAAGTGGATGAAGAATGGAAAGCTTCAATGAATTAAGATGATTTCGTTGAACTTACAACAAAGTGCATGTTTACAACGCACCTATAGATGTAAACCAAATGCTAATTGCGAACAGAAAAAGAAGAATCAAGAAAGAACAAGGGGATGGCGGCGGCCAATTATTCAGAAGTAGATATAAAAATGACGGAATGGATGTGGGTGAGAAGAAGTATGTTATATGTTAGTGTTATAATTGTGTTTATTAATTGATGCAATGACATTGAGTTCTGCTTGGAACAGTAAAAAATCTATAGTAATATGGATAGAAGAATCCATGCCTGAAATGGTGACAAATGTACCGATGATAATTATGCCATGTTAATGAAGAATGAAACTCATGTTCTTAAGAACTTTGCCCATTCTTCGGGAGTAAATTTTGTGGAGATGTGTAATTTAAAAAGTGAAAGGCTTACGTATAGTGATCTATTGTTTGCGGATTTCTGCTGAGAGGAAGAGTAATGGCTATACTATAATGGTTCTTGAGAAGGGCGATGTACTGATTAGTAGATCAGGATGACTTAGGCATGTTGAATGATCAATGGTGTTAGGAATTACAGATGCAGAGTTGATGAAAAAGCTAGTTTTCTGGTCCAAGATTTGACAAGATAAAATTAGGAGATAATACCAACATTAGATTTCAAGGATCTCAAGTATTAGAGCAGGATTGCTTATTGAGAATGTCATGTAATTTAATCAATACACCAATATAATGACCCTTTTCCTGCACATCAGGGGATTTCCAAGTTCATATATTAATTCCTGGTAGGATTCAATGCAAAAATGGTTAGTTCAATCCCAAAATGGTAACTTAGTTAACGAAATTAGAATCCAAGACTGTTTATTTGGTGAAATTAATATCATTTCCTTACTTATAAACATGTTATATAAGCAGAATTCAATCCTGAACCCTCCCACTATGAATTTGTGGAATTTGCTGGCAAAGTGATTGCATTAGCTTTAATACATAAAGTGAGAATAGGTGTCGCATTGGACGGTGTGTTCCTAACGCAGCTAGCCAATTCATCTATGTCTTATACGTCTAATAAGGATCTGCTGGTAAGTTCAATAATTCCGAACATTTGGGATTTTTTCGAGATAGGTTGTGATACAGTAAGGCTCTTGAACTTAATTTGCCGCTAATATATCTTAAACAGGTATCATTTTTTGCTCAAGGAGTTGCCAGTGTTTTTGGCGTGTCATTCAAAGAATTGTTGTCTTTCAAAGGATTACAATATGAAGACATTAATCAAGTGCTGTGTGGACCCTCGACAAGTTCAGTACTATCTAATAGTAGTGGGAAAAGAAAGAAGGAGATACGCATCGATCCTCCATTGTCTCACGGCAAGGAGGTAAGGACTTTTCTGGTTTTTCAATAATTCGTATTTCGTAAGAATTCTCATTGTTCTATAATTTTCTTAAAGAAAGAAGGAGATACGCATCGATCCTCCATTGTCTCACGGCAAGGAGGTAAGGACTTTTCTGGTTTTTTTTTTATTATTATTTTTTTTTTCTGTAAGAGTAAATTATTTATACTAAAAGTTCTCCACAAGTCTTCAAGTATTGCAAGGATTTACCCTTTCAGGTTACAGTAGCGCTAAAAGTTCTAAACTGCTGTTAAATCTGCAAACTTAATCTACCACCGTTGTAGACTAGTTGAGAACTAAAGCAAGCGTGATGAATTTGGCAGGTCAAAAAACCAGAACGTAACTTTAGGAATTGGCAAAGGGGCTCAATGTTGGGAAGTGGGTCGTTTGGAGAAGTCTACAAAGGAACTGCTGATCCCAACGGATTCCTTTTTGCTGCAAAAAAAGTTCCACTTGAAGACACACAAAAAGTCAGCTCAATTGAGCATACGGTTGGTTCACTACGTCAACTACATCACGAAAATATAGTCGAATATTTTGGCACAAAAAAGGAGGAAGCAAATCTCTATATTTTTCACGAGTTTGTAAGTGGAGGGTCTCTCGATAAAGTTCATAAAGAATTAATCCTTGATGATGCCCGAGTGTCCTGCTACACACAACAGATACTGAAAGGTTTGAAGTATCTCCATGAGCAAAATGTTATGCATGGAGACATCAAATGTGCAAACATACTGTTGAATGATAAAGGAGTTGTGCAAATTGCTGATTTTGGATTGGCAAAGGTCATTGATTCAGAGAATCTCCACAAGTCAAGCAGAGCGATTCCAGCCTGGTCCGCTCCTGAGGTCATTGATTCGACACGACAAGGAGGATATGGACTTGAAGCAGATATATGGAGCCTTGGCTGTACCGTATTAGAGATGCTAAGTGGAGAATATCCATATTGTCATTTAGAACCTTGGACGATATGGTATTGGATTGGAGAAGGTATTCCACCTGATGTTCCTGATTTTCTCTCTGATACTTCACGTGACTTTATCGAGAAATGCCTACAAATTGATCCAAAGGCACGTCCAACTGCGGCCCAGCTTTTACAGCATACATTTGTGAAAGAGGTCAAAGCAATCAGCAGCACCTGCAAGCAGAATGAGAAAAATATGTCATGAACTGACGACAAAATGGATTGATTAATGCTTATAGTAAAGAGCGATGTATGATTTAATTTGATATATGGTGCAAATTGCTGATTTTGGATTGGGAAATGTAATTGCTTAGAATCTTTAATTTGGTATCACAGGAATCTTCTTATATGGCAACACTCGCTGTTAGGATCATATACAATGGATCCTAACTGTTCATGCGAGAATAACATAACAGTAGTGTTTGGAAGATGAGAAAAGAAAAGAAAGGGTGAGAGAGAGAGAATAGAAAAGAGGATAGTATATTCATTCGTTAATTTATTAACCTTCAATATCTCAATACAAGAGTACATACAATGTGCCTGCTCAACACTAATATCAGTTCAACACCTAATTAATGCTTATATACATTAGAGTACTATGAGAGTGCCTGCTCAAGACACTAATTAGATCGTAAGGTTAATCGGCCATAAAGTATTTACATCTCATTGGTGTAATGCAACTAATCAACGAAATATAACTCTCATTATCAACTAGTTGTAATATATATATTCCAAAATAGTCCTCAGCGATGTATGATTTAATTTGATATATGGTGCAAATTGCTGATTTTGGATTGGGAAATGTAATTGCTTAGAATCTTTAATTTGGTATCACAGGAATCTTCTTATATGGCAACACTCGCTGTTAGGATCATATACAATGGATCCTAACTGTTCATGCGAGAATAACATAACAGTAGTGTTTGGAAGATGAGAAAAGAAAAGAAAGGGTGAGAGAGAGAGAATAGAAAAGAGGATAGTATATTCATTCGTTAATTTATTAACCTTCAATATCTCAATACAAGAGTACATACAATGTGCCTGCTCAACACTAATATCAGTTCAACACCTAATTAATTACTTCTCATGTACTTGCAACTAATCACAATAAAGCTCCCATATCAATACTTATTATAATATATCCTAACATAGTCCTCACACCCGCACGCCCCTTCCTCCATGGTTGTTTCTCTTGATCTACGCTGCCTTAATGACTGGAAATCTGCAAAAGAAACTAGTACAGTAACATGTACTTCGATATTTGCTCATTGTTGGATTCCACCGCATGCTGGCTCTCTCAAGTGCAACGTATAAACTACCATATTTCCAAATCATAATGGTATGAATTTAGGGCCATTGTCAGGGATTCTAATGGACAGTTTGTTGCGGCTTATCTGGACTTACTGCAGGTCTAAACACTCCTCAGATGGCTGAAGTGCTTGGCATTGCTGGGGTTTTTCTTGGATCAAACTTCAGCATGTTAAAGCAATCGAGCGTTTTGTTCTACAGATCGGGATGATTCAGAGTTTGGTAGAATTATAAATGATTGTAAGAAGACAAGCTAATAAACTGATATTATTATTTCTGATTCTATCGTGCATTAATAAGAGTATCCTTTTATTCCTTAAAAAAACCACCTCTTAAAAATTAACTTAAAAACAAAAATTATAACATGAATTGGAAATCATATGGAATGTTCTCAATAGTGTATACAATAGGTATCATCAGATAATTTTCATGGATCTGGATTGAGCTTTTCAGATTCACTCCAGATGAGTTCCTTGATATTTTCCAGAGGAAATAGTGGCTGCTCAAAATCAAAGTTGAAAGGGCTTGGGCAAACAGGCTCCTCATTTTTACAGTGATAAAGTGTCAAGTAAGGGTGGTTTAGAGCATCATCAACTGCAAAGAAGGAAACAAGATGGGAGAATCTTTGTCAATCAGTAATATTAATTACACTAAATTTAAGAATTTAATAAAGACCTAAAAAGTAAGACATGATTTCAACATGTTTTGTCAACCATGACCTTCATTCTAACTATCTGTTATCATTTTCATCCTTAAATCTTATCACTGTGCTACAAAACCGCCATTAGAATACATAATCAAGTCACCTGCCACAAGATTATACCTGTGTTATGTGTAAGTTACCGTCTTATTATTAAACGACCGACTGATGAAATATTAGTCGAAAACTGAGATAGAAAGTAGGAGCGTTCATAACTATTTAAAATGGTTCAACGCTCAAATATAGGTTAGGTTCCGACAACAATAGCTTTAACCAAAACGCTATCTCTGTGAATTATAGAATTGATAACAAATTTTATAATAGCATTTAAACCGTTATATGAATAACTATCGGTTAATAGTTATTAAATAATTAATTTGACTAAAGACACAGTTACAAAAAAATTTGTGATTTGATCTAATATAAAAATATAAAAAAATTAATTCAGTTTATGATTTTGAAATCAAAATATTCTAAACTGAATTGAATCAAACAAAACGTATATTAATATGTATTTTTTTATGTACATCTAGATTAATCAAATTTTTTTTAATAAACTATATATATTATAAATTTTTTGGTATATCTTACCTATACTACTAAGTCAATAAGTCAATAAGTTTTCTACAAAAAAAAAAAAGTATTCATAAATCTTTAACAATGTAAAGTATTTTGTATAATTTTCTTTTATATAGCAATAAATATGTTTCACACCACCCACCTAACACAATTCATAAAAAAGAAAATTAGTAGTTTTTTTTTTAAAGAATATAAAATCAGTAGTTAAAAGTCAATACTTGATGCTGAATGATTTGAAAAACAATTATATATTTATGTTGTATTATTACTTTTTAATTATAACATTATTTATGATTATATTTCGTTAAATATTTATAAATAATTAGAATAAAAATAAAAGATAAATAATCCAATTAAAACAAGTTGATTTGGTCTAACTGTGATTTAGTTATCAAATCAATTCGATATCTGATCCGATTTTAAGAATAGTGATTTTCTTTTTAAAAAAAAATTAAAATAAAAAATACTCTTTAAAAAATCGATTCCCACTTGCTCACACAACATTTGCTAAAGATTCTGTGTGTCATATAACACTTTCTCATTCACACCGATCAGCTAGTGCGCTGTCACTTGATATCGGATCTTTTCTAAATGAAGAATTTGCCCTTCGACGGGAACTCCTACTACTTCTATCTGCCTACGTCATTCTTTCTTTAATAAAGCTATTTCCCACGGTCAAGCCTAGTAGAGCTCCTAGTCAGCTCACTTCACGCGCACAGGCAAGACATTATTGCTTATGTTTAGGCGTGACATAACACTTTTAATTTATTAATAGGAAATTAGGTAGAATATGTTGATAGAAAAGTCTATTTTGTTTAATTTAATTCAACAATGTCGGTTTAATTAATTAATTGGAAATTGAGGTGGAAAAGGACATAGAAAAGTTTGTTTTGTGTCGGTTAATTTGCTTTTTTAAAGGACATTAGCGGTTTGTTCTTTCATTCTCGGATGACATTCTTTCTTCTCCTCACCTCTGTTGAATCAAAACTCCTTATCGACTGATGTCAAGATCTCTAGTCGTAAGATCACGACAGAATTAAAGGATTAGGGTTTTAGGGGAATATAAACATAAGAAAATTGAGAGAGAAGAGAAGAGAAGAGGAAGAATAAGAGATACAAAGAAAATTTATTCCACTGATAAGATCATCATTCACCGCCGTTAACATCAATCCGGTTGTTCTTCCGTTATGGCAAGCGAAGTAGCCGAACAGTCATTACCCTCGTCTGATAGACAGAACATACCGGCTCCGGTTACATTGAATGAGATCAATGCAATAATTTCAATCTTACATAGGATGCGCCAAGGGGAATCCACTTTAGTCTATGGATGCATGAACTGCTATATGTACAATTTGCTCGGCAACTTGAAAGATCCCGAGCCATTGGACGCACTAATTCAGTCTTGTATTCTTAAGCATTTGGCTGCGCTTTATGCATCAGAAAATATAAGAGACAGCAAGAAGGCTGACTATTATATTAGGTATCTGTTGTATTTGATGATTGCTGAAAAGACAACAGGTTTTCTTGATGAACGTGCTTCTGTAATTCTACAGTTATGCAAGTTTTTGAGGACGATGGTTTGTCTTGAGGATTCTTTATATGTTTTAAGTCTTCACAGTTTAAGAGATTTGGCGGAAAAGGCCAATTATGTGCTTCTTGATAGGTATAAAATATTGTTCCCGGAATGGCAGACTCTACCCATGTTTGACGATTTGGCATATAGATTGCTGAAGGATTTGCATCAGTGCATCACTTCACCTTCAACCAAGGAGACAATGGACTCATTAATAAGTGATTTTCGTGACTTCAAGGCATTATCACGCCTTTTATACCATGCTATTCAGGAACAGAAAGAGAAGCAAGAAGACAAGGGGAAGGAAGAGGAGGAGGAGGAGGAGGAGAAGGCAGCGCCCATTTCTTCAGAGAGATATAAAAATGACGGAAGAAAATTGTCTATTCATTATATTTGTTTTAAATTGTTGCATGACATTGAGTTCCTGCTTTGAACAGTACAAAAATCTCTAGTTAATGGAGAAGAAGTCCAGCCTGAATGGTCTATGTACCTTGCCATTTTGGAAGAACTGAACTTCATTTCTAGACTTTGCCCCCATTCTCGGGATAAATTTTGGAGTGTATTAAAAAGTGCAAAGCTTCCATTAGGTGCTCTAATTGTTCGATTCGCTAAGAGAAGAGATGGCTATGACTATCAATGGCTTCTTGAGCACAACGATGTAACTGATAATGATTCCAGGATGCATTGGCCATGTTGATGATCCCTGGGGTTAAGGAATCTACAGATGCAGAGTTGATGAAGAAGCTAGTTTTCTGGTCTCAAGATTTGGACACAGATCAATTTAGGGCATTCCAGCATAATAGTCTTACAGATCCTCGAGTATTACAGGATTGGTTATGCAAGTCATGTGAAGTTATATTCAACCCAAATAATCCCCTTTTCCTAGCACATCCAGGCGATTCTCCAAGTTTCAATGTTAATCCTGGTAAGTTCAATCCCAAAATGGTAACTTAGTTAAACTGTTTATTTGGTGAAATTATTATCATTTCCTTACTTAAATAACATGTTATAATAAGCGAATCAAATCCTTGAACTCTCCCACTATGAATTTGTGAAATTGCTGGCAAAGTGATTGCATTAGCTTTAATACATAAGTGAGAATAGGTGTCGGCATTGGCGTGTGTGTTCCTAACTGCAAGTGCAATTCATCTATGCTTACAGGTTAATAAAGGCTGCTGGTAAGGTTCATAATTCAGAACATTTGGGAATTTACTCAATATGGAAGCTGTGAATTTGCCCCTAAACATTTCTTAAAACAGGTATCATTTTTTTGGCACAAGGATGCCAGTATCTTTTTGGTGTATCAATTCCAAAGAAATTGTTGTACTTAAAGCAATCAAAGAATTGTTGTCTTTCAAAGGGTTACAGCATCAAGACATTAATCAAGTGTTGTGTGGACCCAGAACACTATCTAATGGTACTGTGAACAAGATTAGTGGAGAAAGGAAGACAGAGGTTCATGTCGATCCTCTGTTGTCTTACGACCAGAAGGTAAGGATTTTCCTGGTTTCAATTTTATTTGTTTCCCCATGTTTTGGCTTTTGAGTAAATTTTGCTGCATATTTATGTATAGTAGTGAAAGTTCTCCACAGGTCTTCAAATTGCAACAACTTGAATTGCTGTTATATTGTCAAACTTAATCTAGTAAATGAGCTAAGAACTAAAGCAAGATAAATTCTTGGCAGGTCAAAAGGATAATAGATAGCATTAGCAGTTGGCGAAGGGGCTCAATATTGGGAAGTTGGTCATTTGGAGAAGTCTATGAAGGAATTGCTGATTCCGATGGATTTGTTTTTGCTGCAAAGAAAGTTCCTCTTGAATGCGCTGAAAAATTCAGCTCAATAAAGGATAAGATTGATTCATTGCTTCAACTACATCATGAAAATATAGTTGAATGTCTTGGCACAAAAATGAAGGACGACGATCTCTATATTTTTCTTGAGTTTGTAAATGGACGCTCCCTCGATAAAGTTTATAAAGAACTAACCCTTAATGATGCCCTAGTGTCCTGCTACACCAAAGAGATACTGAAAGGTTTGGAGTATCTCCATGAACGAAATTTCATCCACGGAAACATGAAATGTGCGAACATTCTGTTGAAAGACAATGGAGGCCTGAATTGGCAGATTTTGGATTGCACATTTACAGACACTACGCAGGGAGAGGGAGCGGCTGGTCCTCCTGAGGTCATTGATGACAAGACAAGGAAATATGGCTATAAAGCTGGATTATATGAGATAATGATACATGTTATGGATGTTAACCGGAAACTTCCATACTCGTTAAGAAAAATTGGTCGATATGGGTATCGGATCGGACAAGGTATTCACTCCGATTCTCTCTCTGATAATTCTCGGAACTTTATCCAGAAATGCCTACAAGTTAATCTAAAGGAACGTCCAACTGCTTCCCAGCTTTTAGAGCATCCATTTGTAAAGGTCACAGCAACCTGTAGTAGCACCTGCCAAGCCAATTACTATTGCCATTAAAGACATGGATTTGTAATTCTATTTTTTGTGTATTTATTTTATCTTTCTGTATTTATTACATAATAAATTTTGTAGTTATTGGATTTAATTTTATTTACAATGTAATTAATTTTGTATTTTTCTGGTTTTCTTACTTGAAATACCCTTCAATTCCTCCATTATTAATTTTATTTACGTAATTAATCATTTTTTGTAGTCTTTTAAAGTACATTATCTATTTTTCTTTTTTGAAAGGAACATTATTTATTTTTCTAATATTATTTTTAGTTATTATGCGCAATGATATTAATAATATTTTAAATTTAATCTATTAAGTAGTAAAATAAATTCATGGAAACTAACCTGAATTAACAAGTCATTTGTTGCCATAACATAAAACTGAATTAACAACTCATGAAATCCAAAATCCAAATATTTTTAGAATGAAACAAAATATAATTGAACGGAACAAAAATCACCAAAATCAACCGCAAACTTCTATACTAATCTTAAAATTTAAACTTAAAAAAAAAAAAAAAAAAAAAAAAGGGATTATAACAACCATAGGAATCATGGAATATTTTCCAAAGTGTGTACAACACATTATCAGATAATCTTCATGGATATGGATTGAATTGTTCAGATTCAACCCAGATGAGTTCCATTATCTCGACCTCAGAAAGTGATGACTCGTCAAAATCAAAGTAGAAAAGGCTTGGGTAATCAGGTTCGTTTTTGACATCATGATAATGTGCCAAATAAGAGTGCTTTAAAGCTTCATTAACTGCACAGAAGGAAATAAAATGGGAGAAGCTTTGTCAATAAGCAAATTAAAAGTGAAACTCGATCACATTCATCTTTATTTGTCAATTATATGCAATTTTTACTCTTGGTATAGATGGTTCGAATTGAATCAAGTTTAAGTCAACCCAAATCTGGTTCGAATTGAATCAAGTTTAAGTCAACCCAAATCCTTTTTTTCTTTTTTCAGTTTGTTTCATTCTCTACTTTAGAAAGAGAGAATTTTGAGGATTGTCAGTTTTTTTCAGTTCTAACTGTCATGGACACTGACATAATAATTTTGTCACTTGCTAGAGGACAATAATGCCTTAAGTGGTAATATACACTTAGTTCAGCAGAAAATCTCTGCAAGGTTAGCTGTTCGATATGTGATACGTGGAAAAAACACCTATGAAAAGGATAACCACAGATTTCAAAATGAAATTAATCTCGTCTAATTGATACAGGGATACTCTTAGGAAAACGAAAAAATTAAAATGTCACTTCGTACCTGTAATGCGCTCGTTTGGATCATAGACTAGCATCCTCTCCAATAGATGAAGAGCATCTTCAGACATATTAGGAGCATACGGAAACATATTACGAAATCTAGTAGCAAAATCTGGCCTTGAACCATTATCGTCTTGCAGACCGATGAGCTAGAGGAAGAGAAAAATTGTAGATGAGATGTTTCACTTTTAAGTAATTTGACACAATAGATAGAGAACATGCAATTCCATATATCAATGCACCAGCTATATATTTCCTTTCCAAACATGCCAGAAACTAAGCGGTTGTGGCATGCATGTTGAAAATTAAGCTTTGTCTAGCACAAGAGAGCAAAACAAAGAGGATCATCTCATGTTATTCCACCACTCACACGAAATAAAGCCATGGAGATGGGGATGGGAGACACAGAAAGGAAAAGGATAGGGAGTAGGAGAAAGAAGAAGAGGGCAAACGGTGGAAGAGAGAAGGATGACCTGAGAAAATCAGAAAGGCATATAACTTAGAAAGACTCGAGGCTCTAAACAATAATGATACATGACAAATTAGTGAAACAGAAGATTTCAGGTCTTCAAAATTAAGAACAATAAGAAGTTTTCAGTGTAGAGGAAAAAAAATAGTCCATGGAAGATTTGCTGAGAAATGTCCACAAACATACCTTCTTGATAAGCTTCAACATACAAGTAGAGTTTTTTTCAGGAAACAAAGGTTTGCGTGTCATTATCTCACCAAGTATACAACCCACTGACCATATATCAATTGCTTCAGTGTAATGTGATTGCCTCTTGAGCAATTCTGGTGCTCGATACCAGCGTCTGACAAGTTCCTCAGTCATGGGGTCGGTTTCTGATTTTATCCTTGCAAGACCAAAGTCTGCAATCTTAAGGTGACCTTTAGCATTCAGGAGCAAATTTTCAGTCTTTAGATCACGATGCAGAACACCTGCTGAGTGTACATATTTGAGCCCTCGGAGCAATTGATATAAAAAGTACTACAAAAGTAAAAAAAAAAATGATGAGGAGTAAAAATTGTGTGGTAATTTATTGTTCACAAGGGCAAGAGGCAAGAATTTCAGAAGCAGTATGATGCTGGGACTAGTTAAGGGTTAAGGTGAATATCAAAGAATTTTGAAATCATAAGTAATTGGAAAAGAAAAAATATAGCTACAATTGTAAAGTACTTCATAGAAAATAAGCAATCCAAGAAAAAGAATGATGCGTACCTGACACTGTTTATCAGTCAATTCTTGTTCGGATTTTATTACTTTATCAAGACCAGTTTCCATCAATTCATAAACAATGTACACATCGTTGAAGTCCTCCTGAGGGGGTCGTATTGTATCTTTGATAGAAACAATCTGAGGACAATATATAGCGACAGAGTAAGATAATAATCCCAACCCCTGAAAAGAGCAGTAACGCCATATTTCATGCCCAATGACAAAAGTAATTTCTGACTGTCTTGTTTATAGAATATTACAAATTAAATTAGTGAATTCATGAGTATAACAACCACAACGAAACTCACATTTTGATGGTCCATGTGCAGGAGAAGCTTAAATCAGTTACAGTCTGGATTAAATATTGTTTGGTTGGATGTCCGGACAATTGTAGGACAATATAACCAGAACAGCATTCATCCAACCAAATCGAAATGAAATAATTCTTTTTTTTTTTTTTTTTTTAAAATAATTTTTTTTTTTTTTTTTTTTTTTTTTTTTGATAAAAAATTGAAATGAACAAATTACTGAAGGTTATAAATGTTACTGATTTAGCTGAAACATTGAACCAGTCTGACTCTAATCAAAATCACATCTTCAGTTTGATTTTCCTGTTTGAACTAAAATTTGGACTGACCAAATTACTAATTTTGATAAATTCAGTCTATTTGGTTTCCTGAAAAAAACCCGAATTTATTTGATAAATTACTAATTTTGACCAACTTGGATCCAAACCCGATTTCGAAGATTAAACCCGAATTTATTGGAGAGGCGAGGTGAGGGCAGAAGAGAAATTAAAGGAGTCAGAGTTTGACTCAGTTAACATTGGTCTTTTCGTTTGCAAAACGATATGAAAACTTGAAGAGCAAGTCAGAAGAATATTATTTTTCTTTTGAAGAGAATTAGAAGAATATTATTTGGAAAAAAGAAAAAGTTAACCGTTCTTAATTTTTAAATTCTTTTTCTTATTCTTATATATATATTTTAAATATTTTAATAAACCACTAGCACTAATAATGTTGTTTTGTCAATACTTCACTCATCGTTTCTATTATTAGCAGTTGCTATCCCCTCGTTCATCCATTGTAGAAAATGGCCAAACTCTCATCATCCTCAGTTGATCCATCAGAGTACATCAAGGCCATAATTTCAATGTTAGCTATGATACGTCAAGGCGAATCCATTGAGGATGATCGCATAACAAGCTTCACTGAAAAATTTCTTGACGATTTCAGCATTCCAGAGCGTTTTGAAACACTAATTCAGTCTGGTATTTTAGAGACTTTCGCTGCGCTGTACAAATGCGAAAATATCACCACACACAGAGAGAAAGGCGAAGAGTATATTCGATATCTGCTGAATTTGATTGCTGCGACTCATCTAACAAGTTGCCTTGACGAACGTGCCTCTGTCGTCTTAGAATTATGTTTGTTTTTGAGCAGCAAGGGTGAGGATCCTCTCTACTTACTAACGATTCGTCGTTTAAGAGAACTAGCAGAAAAGCGTAAGGATGTGCTCCGTTTTAAGCTTAAAATGGAAACAATTTCCCAAATTTCATTCGTCGTTGAAGATTTGCAAGACAGGTTGGTAAGGATGTGCTCCGTTTTAAGCTTAAAATGGAAACAATTTCCCAAATTTCATTCGTCGTTGAAGATTTGCAAGACAGGTTGGTACGGGATTTAGATTTGTGCAACACTTCATCTTCAAGCAAGGAGAATGCAAAGTCGTTTTTGGATGATTTTAAGGACTTCAAGGTATTTTCACGCCTTTTCTGTCACCTAATTCAAGAATCGATCCCTACTCCTATTCCAGCTATTAATTCTATTTATGACGGGAAAATCGATTCTCTACATAGTGTATTTCGTAAATTGTTGAAAAAGATGGAGCACCTGCTTGAAGCACTTCAAATAGACTATAGTGGCAAAGAAAATGTCCGACCTGAATGGTCTCTGTATCTTGCCATTTTAGAAGAACTGAATTTCATATCTAAAATTTTTGAGGATGCAAACGAAGAATTTTGGGACGTATTAAAGAAGACGAAGGTTTCAATACGTGCACTGATTCTTCGATGCGCTGGTAGAACAGATGACTATGACTATGGGTGGCTTCTTAAGCATAATGATGTGACTGATTCTGAATCCAGGATGCATTTAGCCTTGTTGATGATACCTCAAGTAAAAGAACCTGATGTGAAGACGATTAAGAAGGTTTTTGATTGGTCTCAGAAGAATCTACCCCCTAACCTGTTGGGAGTTTTCGTGAATGAGAAACTTACAGATCCTCAAGTTTTGAAGGATTGGTTGTGGAAGTCCAGTAGAGCTATATTCAACTCAGTAGATGGCCTTTTCCTGGCACGTCCAGATGATCCTACAAGGTTCTATCTGAACCACGGTGTTCACGGTAAATTTCCAAACTTGCTTTTTCTGAATACGATATTACTGAAATAATGACACTAGTATATAATGAAATTAATACCATTTCTTTCATATATACTTGTGCAGAATCAGAGCTCATCCCAAAATTCTTTTACCGTGAATGTGCGAAATTTGCTGGAGAAGTGATTGCATTAGCTTTGATATATAAAGTGAGAGTAGGTGTCACATTGGATCCTGAGTTGCTATCGCCCTTTAAGGATTCATCTTTGGATAGTAAGAGCCTGGTAAGTTCAATAATTCACAAGATTTGAGATTCTTGCAAGAGAATTTGTGATACAGCAAGGTTCTTGAACTGTGCACTGTTATCTACAAGCAGGTATCATGTTTCTCAAATGGCTTTTTGAATGTTTTTGGTGTGTCAATCGAAGAATTGAGGCGTGTTGGAGGATTAGAGATTGAAGACATTAATAAAGAGTTGAATGGACCCCGGAGATCTAATCATAGTGCAGACAGTACTAATGGCAAAAGGAAGAAGGAAGCTAATGGCGATACTCTATTGTCTTATTACCAAAGGGTAGGGACTTTTCCCTATGCATATTCTAGCTTTCTTTTGCATAACACTTTGCAGGGTTTGGATCTTTCCAGCCATTCTATAGTTTTCCTAGTTTAAGTTTTGTTATTGTTAAATTGTGATTAGTACTAATGTGACAAAACTGGACTTCAACCTAGACTTTGTAGGTTTTGGGTCTCTTCAGCGCTTCTATAGTCGTCCTAGTTTAAGTTTTGTTATTGTTAAATTGTGATTGGTGACAAAACTGGACTTCAACCAATGCTGTGATACCATATTACAATTTTTAGAAGGGCTCTTGAGCTTGGGCCAACCAATATTAAAATTTTAGTACTAACCAATTAGCTAGGCAACTTTCCACCCTTGTATGTTTTTCATAGATGCTGTATTTATTCAGTTTGGGATTCTTAACAATAGTACTGCTCACTGCCCACCAATAGCAGAAATGTTAGTCCTGTTACTTTCAACAATAGTGCCAAAAGTGCTCAATTCATCTTCAACTTGCAAGAACTTACTCCAGTAAGTTGAATGCCAGTTTTTTCACATCAGTACTAATCACTATTCAACTTGCAAGAACTTAATCTATTGAGTTGAGATGAGTTTAGAAGTTTTAGCACTAATGTAGAAAGCATGTTGAATACTTGGCAGGTCAAAAGACTGGGTCGTAATATTCAGAATTGGCAAAGGGGCTCAATGTTGGGGAGTGGGTCATTTGGAGAAGTCTATAAAGGAATGGATGATCCTCATGGGTTCTTTTTTGCTGCAAAGAAAGTTCCACTTACTAATAAACAAAAAGTCAGTTCAATTGAGCGTGAGATTGATGTATTATGTAACCTAAGTCATGAAAATATAGTTGAATATTTTGGCACAAAAAGGGACGAAACGGATCTCTATGTTTTTCTTGAGTTTGTAAATGGGGGCTCCATTGATAAAGTTTATCGAGAGTTTCCCCTTAATGATTCCCAAGTGTCCTACTACACCAAAGAAATACTGAAAGGTTTGGAGTATCTCCATGGAGAAGGTTTTGTGCATGGGGACATTAAATGTGCAAATTTACTGTTGAATGAGAATGGAGTCGTGAAAATTGCTGATTTTGGATTAGCGAAGGTAACTGACTTGAAGACTCTTCGCAAGTCAGGTAGAGGGACTCCAGCCTGGTGCGCTCCTGAGGTCATTGATTTGAAGAGACAAGGAGGGAATGGATTCCAAGCTGATATATGGAGTCTTGGCTGCACGCTGATATAATGGAGTTTGGCACTGTCTTGGAGATGTTAACTAAAAACCATCCGTACTATGGTTTAGAACCTTGGACGATATGGTATCAGATTGGAGAAGGTATACTGCCTAAAATTCCTGAGACTCTCTCTGAGGATTCGCAGAAATTTATTCTGAAATGCCTGCAAGTTAATCCAGAGAAACGTCCGACTGCCACCGAGCTTTTAAAGCATAGATTTGTTAATAGGTCATAGCAAGCAGCAGAACATACCAAACTTCGTGTTAGTTTCAACTTAAATTGTGGAATTTACTCAATGTTTAACAGCAGTTTTTTCTTTAGTGCTAAAGGTTTGCTTCAGATTTATTTTTAAACTGCTCATCCTTTATTATAGAATATTATTATTTATCATTATCATTGATAAAAAATCTGTTGCTTTTAGGATCATTAACTTTGCTAAAATTAGAATATATAATTGTTAACCAGAATATTTTGATGCAAACATATAAATACTTGTTTGGTTATTTTACAGCTATGTCAATTGAAGCAACTAAGTCTGTACAGTCTACATCATTTGATAGCTCCAGTCCAACAGCATCATTTGGAAGTTACGAAACAGCCACACCAATAGAGAGTTTTGAACCTCTTATAATGTTTAAAAAACAGCAATTCACATTTAAAAACAGCAATTCACATGTGGTGGGAAACTAGACTGTTGAGTCGATTCAATGCACCTATCCACTGTAAAGGAATTATTGTATGAGAAATCAAAACGGGATTTCAGAGAGATCGGAAGATACTGGCCTGAAACAATCCCTTTGTCATCGCGATCCTCGTAAGGAGTACGGAGTTCACGTCAATATTTAGTTATCCTGCTATATCCTTCCATCTCATTTCATATGGAGCATATCTACATATGCTCTTCAAATGCTTACTGATATAATTAGTATTCTTTTTTTCTGGTAAAAGATTACCTGCTGCGAATGTGTTTTTCCTAGATTCTGTAATATTAAATTTAGCGTCGTCTCAAGGGTCCAATTCTCCTCATGAGGTAGGTAGTCAAAATGGCAAAAATCACTCTCATTTTAGAGATGTAGAATGATCGTCCAACTTAGGTTTTTTTTCTTTTCCTCTCTTCTTCATCTTTTTTTTGTAGGCCAAAGAATGGCTAGAACTGAAGGTATCAGGACAGAGTTTGGATTACCATTTGAAAGAGGACGTTATGCCAAGGCAACCAGACTTTGATATCTTACTTAGGTGGCAGTTGAATCGCCTAAATCCAATATTGCAGGTTATTTCATTTGTTCTTTTTCCCCATTTTTCCTTTATACGTGATTGCATTCACTATTGATACAGTTCTTATGTTATATTGTAGATGGAGTTGCAGGGCATTTGGCTAGTTATGCTACTATATATACATGGTGTTGTAAAGCATATAACAATCATGGAAAAAAGCGTTACTTATGAAAGACAAGTACTACAAAACGTCAATGATTATTTGAGGCAAACTCGGGAAAATTCTTTCAATGTACCGTGAAAAATGTTGCTTAAACCTGGATAAGAAGTTGCAATATCTAGGTTTATATTTCAGTGCCATCAACTAATGAAGAAGGGTTGGGAAGTTCTGTTGTTCTGCTTCCGATCTGAAATTTCTCTTTGATGTTGAGTCTAGCTACTTGAGTTGGTATTGAGGGCCGGCTCCCAATTCTCCCCAGATGCATCTCCATTGATGAACCAATCCACAATCATTATCATGACTTCATTCACTGTCAAACTAAACTTGGTTTTTGGTTTTCAGTTGCGCAAAGCAAGCATAAGTAATACGAACTTGCTAGGCTTTTGCGTTGCAATCATATCATGTAAAGTATACATGTAGACATAATATACACAGGCTAGCTAATTAGTTACAGGCATAGGGCTCTCGATTGAAACTCTGGTTCACACAAAACTCTGGTTCACCCACACTCCGATGACTTCTCCTTGCTGCAACCGACCGACTATTATCCTGTTAGTTGAAATGTTAAATCATGGCAGACAATCTTTACAGCATTGCGGTGAAATTCAATTAATAAATTCTAGTAAAGAAAGAGGGGTTGCAAGTATGCAATACCTTAGAATTTGTTTAACTTCATTTCAGTGAAAAATTACACCCAAATGCACCATCCCGCATAAAGAATTTTGCTCTCACATCCTGGTGCATCCACTGACCCCAACCAGCCTCTTCATCAACTCAAACTGCAGTAATATAAATGGGTTCCTGTCTTGTTTCTGGCCCTGTAACCAGATAATAATTAGCATAACAAGTAAAATATAGTCCCAACATTTAATGTACTCGACGGATCAAGAGTGGTAGAATTTGAAATCGAAGTATACCTCATACATTGCTTCTGTAAGAATATTTTCTAAGATAGCTCTCAATCCTCGGGCACCGGTGTTCTTAGCCATTGCTTTCTTGGCAATCAATCTCAACGAATTCTCAGTAAAATGCAGTTTGACCTGAAAGATTATAGAGATGACAAGCAAAGCATAATTGGCCCCATATATCAGCATCAATTATTACACATAAAAGGAGAAGAGAGCAGAAAGGTTTCCCATGCATAGCAAGGAACAAAAACTTACATTATTCATATTGAACATCTTCTTGTACTGTTTTGTACTGTTTACCGAGAGCATTTTTTGGCTCCATAAGGACCTATGGAACAACAAAAATTGCATCATATTTTATCAGTTTCCTTCAAAAAAACTGAGCTCATTAACTTGAAATTGCAAGTTTCTCTACCTGCAACATGCCCATCAAGTGGAAGATGCATTATCACCCCATAAAATAACACAAAAGATATAATTCTACGTGAATCAGGAAACAGAATCGCCACAACAATCATCAAAGAAAAAGGAAAAACATATGGCATCAAAGAGGTGGAAAATACCTGTGGAAAATACCTAACCAAGTTGGTCTCATTCAATGCTGATAAGCTCCACTAATATCGGGAAGCGTCCAACAAATTCAGGAATCAGGCCGTATGCGTTAGATCACCACTTTCTAACCTGAAAGTCCCACACAAAAACTTGAGTATCTACTTGAGGACTAGGAAGTGGACACCCTTCCTAGCCTCTTGAAGTTAATTAAGTTCAGGAAGAATGTACACCCCTTCCCTAGCTCTTGAGTTAATTAGTTCAGGAGAATGTATAATTATTAGAATAAGCCAAAGTGATATCAACCCAAGGACCAAAAAAAATCAAATATTATAATAGGAAAACTTCATTAGGTATAGGGGTTTAGTTCTCACAGATTCCAGCAATGATGATGTCACAGCAGCATCAGTCATTCCACCAGTCCTCATGTTTGCACGAACTGGTGCTCCAAAGCCAATGGAAGCATCTTGTCGTCTTAGAAAAAGAATTAGAACATTCAGAGTCAAGAAATCCTCGGCAACAAATGCTATGAGCACACATCTAAATAGGGAAATTACCTTTCTGAAATGGTTTTCTCCAAATTAACAAATGCGCCACCACATATGAAAAGGATGTCTTTTGTGTCCATCTGTAATCATCACATCAAAGTTCTAAGATGCACAAGAAAGAAAAGCCTCTTAAGGAAAAAAAATTAAAACAGCTGGAAAAAAACAAACATTTTTTATTTTTTCGGTATTCTTGATGCCTTTAAAGTATCAGGACATTATCCTTGCACTGCTGTTCAAGAAAAGGCATGAAGAAAAAGAGGCACAGTGCTTTTCAAAGCCACAACTGCAGCACAAAAAACCTATAAAGAATGGCATCACTACATCCTTGAAGGTTACAGCTTAGTAAGGACACAATGTCACCATGATTATTTTTCAAAACATGTCTAATTTTTCTCTATCACAGCATATTATTTCCATTTGGGAAAAAGAAAAAACAGTAATCATTTCCATCGTTGTTATTTAGTAGTGAAGAATCAATAGAAGTGTCTACAGTACCACCATTCCATTGGTGGCACCAAACTTGATTCGCAATACAATTGCACACAACACACAAGTAAAAGTGGCAACAAGTATTTATGTCTGGTCTTGTTCCCTATTGACCCAAGGCAGGGTCCTATGTAACCAAAAAATGTTGTCAAGGGTTTTGTTTTTCATTCAAACCATGAATTGCAAAAATTAACTTCCAAATGTACTAGATGAACCATGTTAATTTACTTTGTGAAAACACCTTTAGTCATGAAAAGGTAAGAAAAGCACGCCAGAAAATTTTCCATTGATTCTGGAAATTTTCCAATCAATCCATTTCAGGCATGTTGAGAGGAAAGAAGGGAGTGTTCCATGAAGTTGTATGAGAACTGCAGTTTTTAGATTTGTTGTTTAAGAACAAGTGCACATACATTTTGGTCCAGCATATACCTGAATTGTATCACCACGAGATTGCTTCCGAGGTCCTTTATCAGGAACAGGAACATTTACTACCTGGGAAAGCGAAACATTCAATTAGTATGTGTAAGTTATAAACAGGTGAAAGTTAATATATTAAAAAAAAAAAAATCTAACATCTCCATATCATTTAGCAATCATCAAATGTGACCATGATTAAATAGCTGATCAAATAGCATATCCTTCACAAGTTTTCAATACTGTAAGACTTCTAGAAGTGTCAATAACGACACACTATAAAAAGGAAAAAAAAGAAAAGAAAAACCTTCCCAGTCTACTTGATCTACTAAGAAAAATGGACAACAGTTATTAAACAAAACGATCTGAATATAAACAGTATACATTCCAATTGCTCCACACTAAAATGTAGAAAAGAAGGTTTTAAATGACAGCCAAATTTGCAATTGATTCACTCACAGTTCCTTCCAGCATTTTTAGTAATGCCTGTTGAACACCCTCTCCGGATACATCTCGGCCAATATTGGAACTCTCTGCCTGCAAAGAGAGAAAAAAAAAAAAAAAAAAAACTGCAAAGAGAGAAAAAAAAAAAAAAAAAAAGGCAATTATTGTAAAATCAGATACCCCAACATATAAAAGGTAAAATAAAAAAAAAAAAAAAAAAAAGGCAATTATTGTAAATCAGATACCCCAACATATAAAGGTAAAATCCATTTGCTGACAAATCGTAAGACCTTTTTAGTCATTTTATCAACTTCATCAATGTAGACAATTCCTCTCTGAGCTGCCTCCACATTAAATTCAGATGCCTAAGTGGCACAAAGAAACCCACAAAAAATGTTATACAACACCAAGAAAAAAATTGCAGAAACCTGTGGATGACAATATATTTCAAGTCAACAAAATATAAGAATAAAAATGGTCTGTTTAAATGGATTTCTGAACAAAGTTTTGATTGTTTTTGCTCAAACAAGCACAAACAAGAGAGTAATATGCATTTTATGGAGATGGCTGATAAAAAAATCACTTGGAAATTATCAGCTCAGTAATGACTCCACAGTCCACAATAAAGCAACCACCAGTTTAAATTTATGTTTCATTAGATTTACAATGGTGATCCAACTCAACATTATATTTTATCACCACAAACCATAATATCATATATCAACATAATACAGATCATACTGACCAGCCAATTGTACAATGATCAGTATCATATTCTATCATTACAACCCATGAATGATCTATTATTTGCAGATTTCTATTTTTAGAAGAGGTATGTCAGATGTTAGGCTCTCCATAAATCAAAATAACTGTCTTTTAAAATAAGGGGAAGGTTATATTCCTGATACTAGGATTTGGAAAAATCTGAGCACCTCCACACAGCAATGGGCCACCAATGTTTACAACTAACAACCTAACACAGTTGAACTCTGTAGCCTTAACATGCATGGCATATCCATAGTGGAAGCAGTAGAAGCAACTACCCCCACTGGTTTTTCACATTTCGCATATATAATTATATTAATTTGAATTTGCCCCACTAAATTTTTATCTTTTGCCCCCACTTACCAGACCTTCTGGATTGACCATTGTTACCATGTGTTTGCATGTTTTTTATGTCAGCAACAATGTAATAATTAAAACACATCAATCCAAAGCATGTCCAATCAAATCACTCACAGGCTAAGGGGGCATCACAGTCTTTAATATTTTCAAATTATTTTCCCAAGGATTAACAACTTATACGAAAACACTTTAAATTGTGAAAAACCAAACAGAAAGAAGTATAAAAAAAAAGGAAACAGACAAAAAGGTTCAGGCTAAACCTCATCTTGTTTTATTGGTAGGGAAAGTTGGGGAGTAAAAAGCAAAATTGAATCAGACAATATATTCACAGTTAGCAGAAATTCTCAACATTGTGAACATGTGATATACCTCTTTCTGAAGATTAAAGTTAAACAAAAATATACAGAAAGAAAATAAAACAAAATCATACCTCTAGTAGCCTATATAAAATAGATTCCACATCTTCCCCGACATAACCGGCCTGGAGAGAGAGAGAGAGAGAGAGAGAGAGAGAGGAGATTATCAGTTGAATTTAGCTACACAATTAGAAAAGCTCTTAGGAACAACGCCAACAGTCATTTATGAAAAACAGTACTGTAATCCACATGATGAAGACGATCTCGTAATGCAAAATATAATAGATAATAGAAGAAGAAGAAATTTGTCCGACATTCATTTCCGAAGAAGCATCATGAAACCTTAGATTCAAGATTCTCAAATCACTAAAAACAATAGCATTGGTGGGGAATACTATCAGAAGTAGGGATAAGGGTAGAACAAGTAAATGTTCTGAATTGCACTACTATAAATGGAAAGCAATCATGCACTACACTGAATATCATTCTTTCCTTTTGCATGCATGCACAAGCATGTCCACAGGAGAAGACAATGTCATAAAGTAGCGATCCAACCCCTCTGCCATTATTAATATGTGCAAAACTAGCTAATTTTAGTTTTTCCGACCCAAAGTAGCCATAAAATCTACATAATAGAGTGGGTGAGTTTCATTTAAAAATGACAATGGTAATAAGGAATATGTATCTTACAAAATCTGCAAATGAACACGTGAACAAAAGCAACATAAAATAGTAGCCAATTGACTAATGGCACATGAACAAACAGCATCAAGAAATAACCTTACAAGTGTCAAAGCTTTCAGGTATAGGACCATGTGAAAGATGAACTTGCCTGTGTTAGTGTTGTTGCATCAGCAATTACAAAAGGCACATTCACAATGCGAGCTAGTGTTTTTGCAAGTAATGTCTTCCCTATCCTTATGGTCAAGGAAAAATAAAGTGAATCAGATCAAAGTCCTTCCAAGCACCATGTCCACTCAAAGTTATATCTTGACAAGTATACAAATTATGCCAGATGGACAATAGCCATGAAAAAAATTACCATACCTGAACCAGTGGGACCCATCAATAATACATTGCTCTTGTCTAACTCAACAAACTCATTGTCATCATTTTGAAGATCATTGTAACTGAAGTCTATTCGTGACCTAAATATCCAGATGAAGATCAAGTTAAATAAAACATCATTAAATGGACAAGTGCTAACTTTGAGGATAAACATAATATCATTTGCATAAAAGAATTTGTGCAATGTCAACAGAACTGATAACACTGCTACTAATGATTAATCAAACAAAATATGTAGCTGCTTTTGCAGTTTTTCTGCCAAAAGCATTGCCTAAATGATATTGCTAAAGGCATCATTGTTGTGTTTTGGTATAGCTAGATCATCATTCTTTAATTGATTTTAGCTAGAGCATTCAATGGTGTACTGTGAAATGCAACAACAAACAAGTAGGAATTACTAAACCCACTCGATAGGAAGATTATAAAGACTAACTCTTTTTGTCTGGAGGCATGATAAATCCTTTTGTAGTGGTTGTAAACTGCCACAGAAAGAACCTGTTAAATTAAAACAGGCGTTAATGGAAACCCGATAACCATAAAGGTACAAAATTGCACTCCATTACTGTAGCCTTTCACTAATTTGTTGCAGTAAAATGAAAATGTCTTTTTCCAAAATCACACCCATCAATAAATTCATGCATTCATCTTTCCCACAGCAAGAACATGTATTTACCTAGTTAGACCAAGAATAGAGCAGATGAACTTAGCTAAAACAGAAGTAAATAAAACCATGGTCTTTTAACCAGAAAAAAAAAAAAAAAAAAAAAAAAAAAAAAAGAAGTAAATAAAACCATGGTCTTTTAAACCAGAAAAAAAAAAAAAAAAAAAAAAAAAAAAAAAAAAAAAAAAAAAAAAAAAAAAAAAAAAGAAAAAAGTTTTACATTCATCCACAATCAAGTAACCTGGTTAGCTCTTTATTTCCATAACCAAATGCTACCAAATTTTCCCTTGATTCAACTATCAACCCGAACTACTCAAAATCTGGTAAAATTTTGGGGAAAAAAAAAATTATAAATTTAAACAAAGACCTTTTTTGCTTTATCCTGCCCAATCACAAACTCATCAAGCCCTTTAGAAATCTCCTTAGGTGTGGGCAACTTTTTCTCCAACCTCATATCATCAGAAACTTCCTCCAAATTTCCAATTCTATCACCATCTTTCTCGATAATCCCCTCCACACTCTTACAACCAACATTACCATTACTACCATCGTCTAAACCCTTCACCCTGCCAAGCTCGATAAAACTTCCCTGTAACGGCTCCAACTTAAGCGGCCTAAAATAGAACGCTGTCTTACAATTAGCGCAGAAATTGACGGCTTGGTAAATACCAGTTTCTCGGGCTGTGATTGAAAGCGGACGGTTCGAGAAGAGGACAGGCATTTGAGAGGAGCATCTAGGGCAGTTAACATTAGCCCTAATGTGGTCGTAATCGGAAGTGGTCTTGTCGCTTACTTGTCGACTAAACCCTAAACCCAACCCTACACCAACAGTTCTTCTTTGGTGTGCAGAAATGGGCGGTTTGGGAATGGCGAGGATAGAGAGACTGAAGACTTTAGTGGACAAGTGTTTGATTGCGGAAACGGAGGCCGTAATTTTGGTGCGTTTGAGAAGTGAAAGCATATTTTTGATTCCGTTTTCTGGTTGCCGTGGCAGTTGTCGCCGGAACTCGGAAACGGTTAAACGGTAAGGCGACTAAAGAGTAGTAAGTACTAACTGAAGAAATGAAGATCAGAAGATGGGTAGAGCTTGGTGGATAAAGTTAAATGGCCCTTTACTAGCCAATATAAACCCATGGGCTCAATTGCAACTTAAATCAAGGCTAACGGGCTTACAACAAATGGTATGTGATTGTCAATGCCAAAACAGCCCTCCAGTAATACATTAAATGATTAGGGATAGAGGCAGCGCGGGTGTTATCGTCTACTGATCCGTTGCAATCCGTTTGTTACCTATTTAATCAGTCGGTTGTCTACTATGGAAAACACTTATTTACACCTATGTACAGTAAAGCCCCGCTCTAGGGTGTAATCAAATCGAGCCGAGCTCGAATCTGTCGGCCTCGAAACTTACCTCGAAGATCAACGAGTCTAAAAATTTTTTGTTTAAACTCAATTTAAGACTTGAGTACAATTTAAAAAATTTTGAACTCAAGCCTGACTCAAGTTTTGATGCTCGAATAAATCTAAAATAAATATTATATATAAATGTTCGATAAGATTCGACTAGCTTTCGAGCTGAATATTATTGGGCTTGAACTCAATTCGAGCTGAACTTTTTCAAATTTTTTTCAAACCGAGTTCAAATAACTTACGAGCCGACTCGGCTCATTTACACCTCTAGCCCTCTCCATACACAAACTAATTAAAAGCACAATTTTAATATAACGAGTTATTTCTAATCATTTATTTGGATAAAAAATGATAAAAGACTAATATTTAAAAAAAAAAAAAGACCTTTATGGAATTGGTTTGATGTATGAAGAGGGGCACGCCAAAGCCAATGAAGTGGGTCAATTTTTTAAAATAAATTATATAAATAGGACTTAATTGATAAAAAAATTTTAAAAAGTATATATTAAGTGAAAAAATTTAGGATTTTTAATTTAATTGATCCCATCAAAAATGAAATTTAACAAATGACCCCATTGAAAATCATTTATGGCTCTATCACTACGTATGAAACCACCCATATACCAGTGTGGGCAAGTGTTATCTTGCCTGCTATTCTGTGATCATGTCATCAACTTCCTTAATCTACGGAAACAAGTTTCTTCTCCATTACTAGGTATACATGATAAATCCTTCATTCACTTAGGAGGTTTTTTTTTTTTTTTTTTAGGAGGTTTTTTTTTTTTTTTTCAATTAGGAGGTTTTTTTTTTTTTTTTTCAAGTCTAGTAATTACATTTCAATACCCACTTTATGAATAATTAGTTATTAAGTTAAAATACAAAAATATTTTAATAAAAATATAAAGTATTTATAATTAAAATGTGGATATCATTCTTATATTTAGTACTATCTCTATTCCATAATACTTGTCACATTTGGAATTTTACATTCCTCAAGAAAATCATTAAATTTGTATAATTTACAATAAATTATTTAATAAATTGACTATATTACCCTTAATTTAATACTAAATAAAAATAATAATAAATTGAAGTATAATTATTGATTATATACAAAAGATAAATATAAAAAAATATTTATTACTTTTTAAAACTATATATGTGACAAATATTAAAGAACAACTGTGATAGTTTTCTAACCTCGTAATCAATATAAGGACTGAGAACTACAAACCGCTACCCAAACAAGAGCGGCTCTTAAATGGTATTGTGGATAGGACCATCCAATCCGAATAGGACGTGGTGGAAACAGTTGAGAATATGAATATACTTAAAAAGTAAGCTGCACGTTCTAATTAGTCCAAGCCTGCCATCTAAGGTCTAGTTTGGAATATCTGAAATTTATTGCCTGTACCAACTTGATGGGGAGAAGCTGAAACTTGAAACAGTTGTCTCCTGCCTGCCACAAGAACCACAATATTTCTTATATACTTGAATAATATTTTTATCAGAAATTTTATTTTCTGTACAAATTCATTTGTAAAAGTAATATATATTATTTTTTTATATCGTGAGTGAACTTCTTAATTGAATGTATAAATGGATCTCAATTATTATAGTAAAGGAAAATATATATTATTTTTAGAAATTTCATTAAAAACATCCATTAATATATCATTATATCTTCTTTTTTATGTGTATAATGCTCAAGTTATTCCTTGAATTTATTTGTGATATACAATTTACATAAAAATCAATTTTTTGATTGTTTACTATCCCAACTTTATACCGAATAAATAATAATAAACAATAAATTTTAATTTTAATTATACTATTGGAAATTTGAGTAATGAAATTCTAATATTTGTTTGAACAATTAATTATATGTCCAACTATAATGCCGAGAGTTGACGATCCAAACAGTGAAACCATTTTCTTTTTAAGAATTTCTAAAATGAAATTATCTATGTAAAATTTAAATGTTTATATATATTGATATTATATTAATTTTTAATTGTTTGATATTTATTATTATTGATTACGTCATAAGAAAATAATTTACTGCCTCTTGGTTTCGAACACTTAAAATTATTTGAGAATTTAAAAAACCGAATTGGAAAACAGAAAACCATGTCAGCAGTTGAATATATATATGAAAAACAGAAAACCTAGTCAGCAGTTGAATATATATATAGTATATATATATATATATATTATTATATATATATATATATATATATATATCTTTTCTTTGTTTATCTTTTCTTTGGTTAAGGGCAAGTTATGAGAAAAGACAATTTCTTTTAACTCAAGTGATTCTGAAACGTGGGATGATCAGAAAACAGACAGCTGATGATCAGTTTCAATAAATACACGTGGGAAATTATGGTCGACACTATGAAAAATATTTTCAAATGAGTTGACTCTTTTATTTTATTTTTTAAAAAAGATTAAAAGATACTCATATTGATATTGATTTATGTTAACGTAAAAAATGACTAATAAAAATTTGACTTGTATTTATAAGTTTATATAATATCATTAAGAGACACGTCTAATATATTAAAGCGCAAAAAAATTATTTTAATACACGTATCAGTGAACTAAACTAAAAATTTAATTTAGACGTTGAATCTAATTATTTTGTGAAATAAAAAAAATTCAACAATCATTTTCCAAAAAAGAAAATCTCAAACTTGAAAGCTAATTAGGAATTTAAATTCGAGTACGTGTACAGTTATATCTAATTATAGTTTCCTATAAAAAGTGTTATATCTAATAATAAATATGATAATTACAACCAAATATTAGTTTGCTCTCTTGATCCTCGAGCTCTCACTAATTTAAGCATTAAAGTGATTGTAATTTGTGAGCTAATTCTATTTCTATCTCTGCAGAAGTTCACAAGAAGAAAGATCTTCCACAACGTTCATAATTTAAAATTTACCATAAAAATAGTCTTATAATTATATGTTGGCAATTGAAATATTCCATATTTTTATTACTATATATATGTTTTTCACTTAAATAATATTTTGATTAAAATATTAAATTAATATAATATTTTTATGCTACGTTTGTTTCCGTAAAACAACTTGCTTCGCTTGAAAAAAATTTTTCAAATGACTTATTTTTCGTTGCTTGATTGTAATATTGAGAATTAATTAAAATATTAAAATTTTTATCTCATAAGATTTATCTCATAAGATCCATAAAAAATATTAATAATAAATAAAAAATTTTATAATTTATAAATTTATTGTTAAATATGAGAAGAAATGTAATATATATATATATATATATAATATATATATATATATATATATATATATATAATATATATATATATATAATGATAATTATGAAAGCCGCCCAGTTGACACAGTGTGGTAGATAGCTGGTGGTGGTGGTCGGTGGTAATGGTGACTGGTCATAGTGACTACGATGATTAATAAATTAAAAAAACATGATCATAAGGTTTTTTCATGTCCGAAAAATATTTTACTTTTCATGAAAAATAATAAGGTTATTTTTTTTTTTAAAAAAATGACTACTTAATTTTTCCTTTGACTAGAAATATTTCTGTTGACACTTATTTTTCCTAGAACTTCCAACACAGATAAAATTGTGAAAGAAATATTTTTTTAAAATTATTTATGGAAACAAACGGGCTTTAGATGTTGTTTGGTTGGTTTTCTCGTATCTTTCAGAATATAAAATTAATCAAATTTTTAGTTTGGTTAATTATAAGAACATATATAAATTATGAAAGCCGCCAGTGACCAGTGGTGGTAGTAGCTGGTGGTGGTGGTCGGTGGTAAATGGTGACTGGTCATAGTGACTACGATGATTAATAAATTAAAAAAATATGGATCTATAAGGTTTTTCAATGTCCGAAAAATATTTTACTTTCTTGAAAATAATAAGTTATTTTTTTTTAAAAATGACTTAATTTTCCTTTGACTAGAAAAATATTTTCTGTTGACTTATTTTCCTGAACGTTCCAAACAACGAAAAATTGTGAAAAATATTTTTTTATAAATTATTTTATGGAAACAAACGGAGCTTTAGATGTTGTTTGGTTGGTTTTCTCGTATCTTTCAGAATATAAAATTAAATCAAAATTTTTAGTTTGGTTAATTAGTTAAGAAAACAACATCAAAAATGTAAAAAAAATAACCATCAAATTAAAATAAATTTAAAATAAAAAACACAAAGCGTCAAATTAATTTTTTTGACTAAAAATTGAATTAAATTATTTTAAATTCATGAATTTAAAAACTATAGCTAAATAAAATAGACTGAAAATAAATAAAAGAAAAAAAAAAATCAAATTCAATCAATTGTTGGGTTGTTAATGGATTTGTACTTGCTGGCTGCTCACCCTTCCTCCACTGATCCACTCCACTTCAATGAATGTCAAGAGCGTATCCAGCGTGTCATCAATATCCAATTCCATGCAAATTCTGTCACCCCAGGCCATTGCCACGTCAGCTACAATAATGCGCTTCGCTTCACAGCTGTGCGGTAATAAATCAAGACTACCTACTAGGTCGCCTTTTTATTAGAAAAGATGACAGAAAAAAGTTGGTCGGTCATCCTCATTCCTCAACATGGAACAAAGGCTTTGTTTGTTTGTTTGATTTGTATTTCAATTATATAATTATTCATTTATGTTTTTAACTCAAAGTTTAATACACCTTTTATTAATTTCTACTAATTTTAACCTTTTTTCCTGCAATTAATCACAGTCGAGGAAAAGCAAAATCATTTGAAAATGACATACTTTACTATGTATGCATGCACACACTTACTCTCTTGATGTAATTTAACAAAATGTAATTTTATAATTTATAGTGTTGTCTTTTATAAAATTATAAATTTTGCTAATGTGGCATCATGTTACCTTTTTCTAAATTAATTAATTATTTTTTTAATTTGTTTCTAATTTAAACATTGATGAAGCTAAAATTAATATTTTTAATTTAATGACATTAATGATATGCTCTTTAATTTTACTTCATCTGTCTAACAATATAAAATTATTTTAAAATAATTATTTGGAGAATATATATGAGTGATAAGTAAATGAAGTCTTCTTTAATTTTACTCATACTTATATTAAATACAATCTGTGAACTTGGAATAATGATATAAAAGAAAAGATAATTTAATAAAATTAATTAATCATGTGCAACAATTTTAAACAATTTATATCTATAGAGGGAGAAACTCTTTTCAATCATTTAACAAAATTTATAATATTATTAATATTTTTCATGATAAAAAGTTCTAATTTTTTTTTGCAATAATTAGTGAAAATTATTAATATCATTTAATAGTATTTTTATGATTAATAAAATTATTAATATCATTAATATTTTTATTAGCAAAGTTGTATGTTTGGTTGATCTTAAAAATTCAAATATTAGTAAAAAACAAAAAAATATAAAAAAATTCACTTTGCTTAAATTGGATTATTATGAAAAATGAAATTAATCTACACAAATACAAAAACAACAGAATTAATGCTTAATAATCTACAAAAATCCAAAAAAGTAACAATAACAAGTGTTTTCCCAAATAAAAAAATAAAAAGAAAATGAACAAATTTGCAAAGGCAAACACACCTTACCAATTTCCCAACTTTCTCTGCTCTTCCTTTCCAAGCTTGATTCTTTTCATTGAATCTCTTCTCTACTCTCTCTCTCTCTCTCTCTACCTCTGTAGCTCCGTTTGCCTCCAATTGTAGGCCACCTGCCTCTTTATTTCCTCACGGCAGCTAAAAACAATGTCTTCTTCGTTAATCCCAAAGCTCTCCATTCTCACGATAAATTCATCACCACCACTTTCAATTTCGTAAAAACAACAAACCAAACACGCACTCTCCCTGTCACTTCTCTCTGCTTCCAAAACCATGGCTCCGATCAAAATCAAGCAATCGCCAAATCCCACAGCTCAAACTCTTACCAGTACGACGTCATCTCAGGAGGCGCGTCTCCTTGTCCTTGAAACGCTCCGTATTAGTGCTAACTTGGCTTCAGCTCCGGCTCCTCCGGCAATGTCTCAGCCTTCTTCTATTTCTTCTTATTCGCCTGTTCCTTCTACGGCTCAGTCCGTTTCTTTGATTGATAATAGTAGGAGATTAGGGCTTGTGGAAGATGAATTTATTGATTCCAGCTTGAGATTGATCTGCTGTGAGGAAGTTGATGGCCGGAGATGGAAGTACTTGGCGGAAAATGACGGCGGCGGACGTTTTAAGAAGAATTCGATTCGTGCTGTCAGTTTGCAGACACCTCAAGCTCCTGTTGAGGTCAGTTCACGTATGCAATATTTTGAATATTTTGAATTATTAATTTTATTGTTTGTTGTCTGTATTTAAATTTTCTGATCTTTTTAGCTTAATTTTTAGCATTTGCTTAATTCTTAACATGTAATGCACATTTTGAATCTCGAATTTTAGTAGTCGATTTAATTTTCATTGGAACTTTAGTGTGGTTTCATGCTCAGATTTGTTCATTTTACTTCTATTTCCCTGTTTTCTCATTGGAAATTTGTTGGGAGAATAGAGAGAGAGAGAGTATGTGTTATTATGAGTATTTTTCTGTTTGTGTATGGTCTGTGAGTGAAGGAATTAGAAGAAAATAGAATTGAAAATGGTACTTTGAATTAATTTAAGATTAGCATTGGCTATTCAGAAAGATTAGGATAATAAGTTTTAAACCTGTATTGTTCCTGTAGTGTTCATTCTGTTTCTGTGGGTATGAGGATGGCTCTTTGTTTTGGGTAGAAGTAGGATGCTAATTCACTTCAATGCTTTTTCTACCATATTTGTATATGCTGGCATTGAATTAAGGCGAAGGAAAACTTTGATCAATAATTCTATGAAGTGAACTGATTATAATTTTATATTGAATTTGCAATGCAGGAAGTAATGTCATTCATAAGATCCTACGTAGTGCCAGAAGGTTTTCCTGATAGTGTCATTCCATCTTATGTGCCATACATGACTTGGAGAGCTTTGAAGGTATTTTATTTTTATGTGAATGAATGATACGCTGAGTTTTTGGGGCTTTTGTGTGAATAAACTAGTGCAAAGATTTCTGTTTGAAATAGTTGAATGTGCATTATGTTGAATTTTGTTCCTTCAAGCGCTTCTTGATTACTTTGTTGTGCTTGAATAACACATATTGGCTTTTGTACCAGCACTTCTTTGGTGGAGCAATGGGTGTTTTCACAACAAAAGCACTTTTGAGTTCAGTTGGAGTGTCTAAAAGCAAAGCTATTCCTGGTGCTGTCGCTATCAATTGGATTCTGAAGGTAGGAAATGGGTGATGTCTTGACGCTTTCCCCAGGATTATATTTATATGAAGGTCTTGCATGGTTTTATATAATTTGCAACATGCATTCAGTTGTGCTGGAAAGGAGATATCAGTATTATCTGTTTGCAAGTTCCTGCATTCTAAGTTCATTATTGGAATTTTGTGGTGTTACCATCCATAAATCTTCAACTTACAGGCATTGGAAAAGAAAATGTCTTAGGGCTTGCTGTTAACTCATATCTTGATGTCTGACACTTGTGGACATTAGTTATTTGTATCAGACTTGAAGGCTATTCTTGTGAGTTAATATTGTTTTAGAAAGGAAATTATAGCTTTTAAACCATTAGTTGTTTTAGAAAGGAAATTATAACTTTAAACCATGGGAAAGAAGGGGTTAAAAAGTTATCTTTTCTTCAGATGTTTCGAAATGATAAGAAAGGAATAAAAATATCCCGGTTTGCTTCATTGATGAAAAAAGAAAAGATTAAAATTATGTTACTATTATGTCCTCGTTCATATAAAAGTTATTTGTGACTCAACATGGATTCTTATTTCTCATTTAAGGTACTGAACTTTCTTTTCCAAAGGGTCAAACATTATTTATGGTTTTCAACTTTGAGTTCAAAATTATCTACCACTGCATAAATTAAAACAACAGGTTGGGTCTGTGGTAAACAAAAGAAAAGGTATGTGCAAATAACTTCTATTTCAATTAAATGCAAATAATAGCCTATCCCTCGGGATGTGTGGCCAACAATGAAGGATGGATTCAAAAGGAATAATGGTATGGATCCGAATGAAAAACAAAGGTAGTAGGAGATTTTTTTAAGTTTATTTTGGAAAATTATTATTTATCAATGATAGAATGGCATTCTTAAAAGTTGTTGTTAATCATGTAGAGGGATATTGCTTGTTCGTCAATTTTGAAGACAAATTAGGTTTGAGGGGATAACTAGTTCCTCTTTATCCTTTGCTTTTGTTAAACATGCAAACCAAGGATAATCTTATTCCTCCCCTTTTCTTTTCCTATCCTTTCTTGTATCTTCATCCAAACTAATTGGAAATGTATTCTTATATTTGTAGGATGGTGCCGGGCGTGTTGGGAAAATGCTTTTTGCACGACAAGGAAAGAAATTTGATTATGATCTAAAGCAGGTAAATTAGCATTAGACTATCAGTTTTTGACTGAATTTATTGTCATCATTTGTAGACATTTTCTGAGCTCCAATGCATTTTATAGCTGCGGTTTGCGGGTGATCTTCTCATGGAATTGGGTGCTGGGGTGGAGCTGGCAACTGCAGCTGTCCCACACCTTTTTCTGCCCTTGGCTTGTGCAGCTAATGTGGCAAAGGTTTACTTATTCATTCATTTGTTTATTGTTATTTTATTGCATATATATGCATGTTGGAGCCAGTTTTGCAGCCTTATGTTCGTTGTTGCTTATTTTTAGAATGTTGCGGCTGTAACATCAACATCAACTAGAACACCAATTTACAAAGCCTTTGCTAAAGGAGAAAACATTGGGGATGTTACTGCAAAAGGAGAATGTGTTGGCAATCTTGCAGATTTGGTATGCTTGAACCCTGGAATAATATTCAGTTGTTTACATCTGAATTTTTTCTTTTTTGAGATTGCTTAAAGAATTCTATGATTAACATAAATTCATTTAGGGAAAATTATGAACTTGTCCTCATATTATGCCAAAATTAACTATTCTGTCCCTCTGTTTTTATAATACACTATTTTCCTTCCGTCAATATTTCCAATTTTTGCTGTTAAATTTAAATGAAAAGACTCAAGTACCCTTTTGCCTCTTCCCTCCCTTTCACGTTTGTTCTCTCTCCCTCTTCCCCCCCCCCCCCCCCCCCACCCTTTTGGCCCTCCGCTTTCCCTCCCTTTTTCACGTTTGTTTCTATCTCTCCTCATCTCCTCCTTCCCCCCCCCCATCCACCTCCCCCAGCCCTGGTGCCCTCCCTTAGTCTCTCTTATAAATAGCATTGTATGAACGAAAAACAGAAAGCGCAAGAATCCTGTCAAAACAAATCTCAAGAACCATTCACCGCGTACACCCAGATTACTTTATATTATGAACTTGTACAGAGACAGAGAGAGATGAAGCTTCATCTCTTCACCTATTCACACATAGATTTTTTTTTTTTTTAAATGTGTAAGTTGATTAAAGAGGAACCCTCCTCTAATGAAAGAGAAAAGGGAAAACCTGTATGGACAATGGTATCCCATTACGAGCGCATCAATGCGTTAAATCAAAAGGTGTGATCTCCAGCTAATTAAGAACCCACTATGATTTCCTGCAAGTTGAAAGGGTTGCGTCTTGTCTTGATTTTTTGTTATAACCCTTAGAGGGACATTTCCATTGGTTGGTTCAAGAGTATATATGGTAGAAAACACCAAATTTAGGATATTTGATGTCTTTTCACAAGCCATTCCCCCCCTATCTCTCTTATAAATAGATTTGTAAACAAAAACAAAAACAAATCTGTAAACAAATCAAGAACCATACGTACACATTATATATATATGAATTTACAGAGACAGAGAGAGAAAGTACGATACAATAGATTTTTTTTTTTTTTAAATTTTAAGTTGATTAAGAGGAATAATAATGAAAGAAAGGAAAACCTGTATGGACAATGGTATCCCATACGAGCGCATCAATGCTTAATCAAAAGGTGTGATCTCCAGCTAATTAAGAACCCACTATGATTTCCTGCAAGTGAAGGGTTGCGTTTGTCTTGATTTTTGTTTAACCCTAGAGACATTTCCATTGGTTGGTTCAAGATATATATGGTAGAAAACACAAATTTAGGATATTTGTGTCTTTTCACAAGCCATTTAACAGAAAAAATTGAATTTTTTTGACGGAAGGACAATAGTGTATGATAGTAAAGAAGGACAGTAGTGTATGATAGTAAAAAACATGGGGACAAACTGACGTGTTTTAAATAACAGAGGGACCGAATAATTAATTTTGGCATATTATGGGGACAAGATTCTAATTTTCCCATTCATTTATGTTTTTCTATTTTTTTGAATGCACAAATAAATTTGTATGGGTGAAAATGCCATTGAAGAGCTTGGTGCTATTAACGTGGTAGATCCTTTGAATGTGGACTTGGAAGTGCTAATGTTCTACTTTCTAGATTTGATGAGGGTAAACTTATACAACACTCGAGTTTATATTATTGCTATCTTTATAGTATGTCTCATTTAATGTGGTAATGGTAATACGTAGTAAAGTAATTTGAGATATGAGCTTATGGTTTGTTATGTGCATACTAATTGTTCACTTGCATCACAGTGATACTTTGTTGTTTACTAATAACACACTTGGAGTATTAAATTGCCCAAGTTAATTTCAACTTAAGACATGCTTGTTGCATGTGCACTGTACATATTTCGCTGGATTGTAATTTCGATTGATATTGACATGCATTGTCTTATATCTTGTGAAGCTTGGAACAGGCCTTAGCATAATGATTGCAAAAAGAAACCCTAGCTTGTTTACCACATTTGCCTTCCTTTCATGCGGCTATGTTCTCAGCTCTTACCAAGAGGTTAGATACTGTTGAAACACTAGTATCGGTTTGCACAGTCACTCGTTTTTTAGGTGAAGGGTGCATCAGTATGGTAATAGAGTTTCTCTCTCTTGCCAGGTTAAATCTGTAGTGTTGCACACCTTGAACCGGGCCAGATTCAGTGTGGCAGTGGATTCTTTTCTTAAGACAGGTCAGATAAAGTGCTCCATGAGCTCACACCATGTTATTATCATTTTTTTTTTTTTGTCAAACATTTCTGATAGTTATTTGATTTTCTTTATTTTTTAAAATCAAGTCCAACGTCTAAGCAGTGGTATGAGATATACACATTTTTCTTTCTTTTTATCTGCAGGGCGAGTGCCCTCGTTGCAGGAGGGGAATATGAAGGAAGATATATTCAGCTTTCCATGGTTGAAGGATAGGCCTATTGTTCTAGGTTTGTACTAAAAACCATGGATCATATCTTTAATGGACAAAATTTTTTATTACCTGCTAGTTACCGAGTTCATTCCAATGTTTATTCCCAATGTTTGGTAGGACCAAGATTTAAAGAAGCATTTCAAGACCCAAGTGCATATCTTGCAATCCAGCCTCTATTTGAGGTATGCAGCTATCCAAGAGGAAAGAAATTTCAATGTGGGGATATCTCCTCTTCTCATTTTGGATCTAATTCTCTCTCTTTATATACTCATATATTAAGCATTTTGGTTGATTGATGACAGAAAGAGAGATATATAGTGACTTACAATCCATCAAGGGATACGATTTATGCATTGCTCAAGGATCAAGCAAAGGCAGATGACATTCTAAAAGCAGCATTCCACGTGAGATATGACTGAATTATGTTTCATGCTTTTGACAAATTCACTCAGTATGTACAAGCTGTAAGATTTGTTTATCTTGCATTACAGGCTCATGTGCTTTTGCATTTCATACAATCATCAAATAATGGTCATTCTTCATCACGGAAGCAACGAGAATCTGGTCGTTCTAACTATATTCTCTCGGCTAATGATTTAGAGGTTCATATTGCCGAGTCATGCAAAATGGTCTCAACACTGTATGATCCTTTCAAAAGTAAAGCTGCAGAGCAAGTAAGTGGAAGTTATTTCCTTTCTTAGATAGGTACATGAGACATTGTTTATTATGGTTTTAGATTTCCCTCCAGGAAAATAGGAAAAGGAAGATGGCTGTTTACATGCTCAAGAACTTGTAAAATTGCATTATTTTTCAAAAGAAAAGATAACGTAAAAACAAATCTTTTGGCATGGTCTCAATTTGTTAAAAATTTTATTAGTTCTTAATGAGGAGAGGCTGTAATAAGTTTTCCTTTCTCCTAAAATTACTGTATCAATTCCAATGATTGGTTCCAATTCCAATTTTAGGCTGTTGAAAATTTTCTGTTGATTATATATGCGCCTGAAAGATCCATATGCCTTTTACTACGAGGTTGTGCAGGTGCTGCAATTGGAAAAAATATTGGTTTTCTGACTTTAGATGGCCATCTTTGCATTTCTCATAATTTTCCTAGGCAAACCCTGTAATGGTAGTAGTGGTATGGACATTGAATTAGTAGACTAGCTGATAATATACATATATATTTTGACTTGGTGTTTGCTAAAATATAAAACATGGTTCTTCTGCTCTTGACTTCATTCCTATTTATTTTCTTGTAGGGTTGGAGGATGTCAGACTCACTTCTTAATCCTGGCCGAGCCAGACTCATAGCAACTTGTTAAATGGGAAGCTTTCTCTTGAGACATATCTCTGCGGATAGTCAGGAGTTGACCTGTCTAGTACTCAAACTGCATTCAAACTGTGGACATGTCAACCATCAAACTGTTAAAAGCATATACATAACAAAGAGGCTAAGAATACAGCAATTGGACCATGGGAACCATGGGTTCACTAAAGATTGGTCAGCCCTCTCTGTTAAACACCCAAATACTTTTTGCTGTGCACAATCTTCGTTTTTTCATGTACACTTGGAAGTGGTGAGATGAAGTTTTGAGTTCTAGGAAGGAGCTGTTAGCATGGTATAGTCTGAAGTTGCATTATGGTAATGGTAAATATCCAGAAACAATTCACTTTTTTTTTTCTCCATTATCTTTCTCAGTTTTGAAGGTTCCATTTTGTTTGTTATTTATCATCCTTCATTCTGTTTTTCTTATTAAGTTACATTGGATAGCAACTTTGTCTTGAAAACTCATTTTTGTGTAGAATACAAAAATGCCTTGCAATATCAGCAACTTTTTCCATTTCTATATTGCTTGAGAATTGCATAATTGAACCTATAAATCCAAGGTTGATGGAACATATTGCTACAAAATGTTATACTTGCAAATACATATTTCTGCTTTTCCTAATGTACTCAGAGGCTTCAAGCTATAGCCACTAATCTATACAGGACATCATAACCATCCATCAATTTAGTTCTACTTTCATAACCTTTGCTTCTTGTTCTGCTGAAATTTTTTGATGTCCTATACGCTTGGCAGTGTTTGTGACGCACTGGGTTACTGAAATCATGCATATTCTATCTGCCATAAAAGCTCAATGGCGATTGCATTGCTGTTTAATGCATTTGTTGAAATATGTTTGGCAGACTGAAATTCAATGAAATGGGATAAATTTCGTACAACAATATTTAGCATTTTCACCTTATTTTATTTTCTCACACTGTACCAGACATGCTATCAGCATTTGTGTTTTAGGTTGTTGGTTACTTCTCGCCTCAGTTATTTGGTTAGTATTTGACTATTCCTGATTATGACTTGGGTTCTCAATAATAATCTAATCTGTGTTTCTGTTGCTAGATGGAAAGCCTAATAGTACCTTCAACTTTTATTTTGTAGTTAAAAGTTAAAAAGTGTTCAATCGGTTTAAAAAAAAAAAAAAAAAAAGCCGAAGGTGCTGATAGATTTTATGTAAATTTAAGGTGCATCAATGTACGTCTGAATGCTAGCATAGCAATACTATCGTCTGATCAAGTATTTTGAATCATAGGTCTATGTTAGTGTTATTTTCCTTTGCTTATTAACAATACCTTGCTGGGCTATGTGATTTTGGGGGTAATTTTCCTTGAAAGTTACTTGCTAGTAAAATATCCCCCGAAGTAGGCTTGGCCACTGATTCAAATTGAACTGGAAACAGAAACGCTGCGATTCAGGTTCTCTGGCCCAACGTGCCAGAATTTGACTGGTTCTCCATTTGTTTTCCAAGGAGAATTTTTTTAATGATCCGGTTTGGAACCAGAATTAAACCCTTGGTTCCAATTTTGGATTTAAACCTAGTTCCAATTTCTACATGTTTCAGTTCTGGCCATTTTTCGTTCCTCAAGGTTCCAAATCAATTTGGTTTCATTTATAACTGAACCTTGACCATGTTTACTTTAATGGATGATATTAAATATAATTTTGCAGTAACTCCTCATGGTAAAGTGCTGTCGGAATAGGTGGATCCAGCATGATGCGTTCTTACAGCTATGACCCTATGAATATAGTTGAAAGAAGTATATACATACACAATTACATGCATCCACACTTGTGACTTGTCCATAAAATAATATCCTCACAAAAATGGCTTCCTTTGCATTAAATTTCTTACACTGATAAAATATGTATGTATATGTAATGTAAGCAGGGATGTCATCTCAATGGCAGCAAGGTACATTAAATACCTTACCTCAAGCACATTAAATATTGTTCAGAATATCAATGTTCCAAAATTTATTAGGCCTTTCAAGTGACGGGATATATTTAAATGTCAAAAAAAAAAAAAAAAAAAAAAAAAAATGACGCGGAATATATTTAAAAAAAAAAAAAAAAAATGACGGGATATATTTTCCTTTCTATTGTTTTTATTTACTACTATATGCACCCTTTTAGCATTGGTTTTTCATTTGATTTGGTAAAAAGAGGTAAAATTTATGAACAGTAGAAAATTAAAATTTTTGATACTATGTTTTTGTGATTTGTTTTTTTAGAGTTAAGTTTGTTCTTTTAAGCATCTTAACACTCTTTTGAATGAGATTAATGTTGATTTAATAATGGAGAATTATTAGAATTTTTTTTTGGTACAATCAGGAGGCTTTATCCTCTTGAGTCATAAAATATAAAGGTTTTTAGCGGCTTTTAGAACTTATATCGCTTAATGGTTATCAACCCGACTAATACCTAGATGGTGTTAGAATTATTATTTTAATGATAGAGGTTTTCCTTATTTTAACAATAAAAAATCCCTATAGACTGTATTTTTTTAAAATAAATCCTATAAACTATTTATTCGTTATAACAATGCTTTTAATTTTAATATAAAATAAGATAAGATAATGTAAAATCAGACTACAAGAGCTGTGTATATTATGGGGTCCCCCACTCTCTCTCTCTCCCTCTCTCTCTCTCTCTCTCTCTCCGTGGACTCAAAGGTTGAAAGTGGGTTGGCTGAAGGTAGCTGGAAACATCATTGGAAATATTTAAAGATCCATTTGAAAAAATATATATATATTATGGTTTATCAGAAGAGAGAGGCATAGGCGATATGTCCTGTTATTTTCATGGTTATTATCAGAGGAACATCTTAGAAAAAAAAATTTAAATGTCTTCTGATTTTTGTCTAGAAATTTATTACTGCCTTCATCTGCATTACTGCTAACTAAGGCGCGTGGCTCTATTGGTTTAGACCAAATTACAAAAAAAATGCATAATCTTTGCACAACATCCCAATATGTTTTCATTCTTAATCTTTTACATCAATATCAATTTATGCCCTCTCACTAAATTCAGCAAATTAATGTAGAAAAATTTTTATTTTAATAGGAAAAAGGTCATTTTTTAAAATTATTTATCTTATCTCTCTTCACCTATAAACTTTTATTCGACTTAAGATGACTAAAATTGATCTTAACGTGATAGGTTAAAGATCAATTGATAAAATTATAACTAGGCCTACCGGCAAAAGAACAAAAAGAAGAAAATTATTCAATACAATCAAACAAAAAATTGTGGTTTTGATATTTCTATCTTTTGGTTCAAATCGCAGAATATATGAAATTAATTTTTTATGTTTTCTCTTGTAAATATCATTTCTCATTTTTGTCTAATTACATTGGTATATGCTAGTATTTTTTAATTTTTAATTTTTTTAATTGACGTAAAATTTTAACGTACATGAAATAAAATTCCATTTACTTTGGTTTCTCTTATTCCAAATGATAAAAATTCATATTATTATAATATTTTCATTTTATGTGTTTGTAACGTTTCCAGATTTAAAAAATATTTTCTCATAGGCCAACCTAATCAACTTAATTATATGGTTTTAATTACATTCAAACGTTTTTTAAATTCGTTTATCTGAAGTTTTTGTGCAATAATTAGCAAGGAGACAAAAAGATCAACTCCTGCATAATGTAGGAAGCTAATCAAATTTTGATAAACATAATATTCTTCTAATAATTTTCTTTAAAAAAATTATATGGAACAGGAGAATTGCAAAATTTCATTTCGCTGTCCCAAACAATGTTTGAATGAAAGAGTAAAATTACTTGTTAAGAGCACAAGCTCCTATAAATGCCACAAATTATTGAAAAAAAAAAAAAAAAGAAGAAAGAACATGTGACACTGTCTCTTTGCAGTAGCCTGTATAGATTACTCCAAAACACAATTAAGCTCTGTTCATGGTTAAAGAATCCAAAGTTGTGGGAGAGAAGTGACAGATTTAAAAATATTTAATCTAAATATAATTATCTGGTTACAATATCAAGCAAATGATATATATTACTCATGCATGCATAGGTATTTAACAATATAAACAAAAAATTAGTTGAATAATAAGAACAATAATAATAAGGTCTTCAAAAGGACTAATTTTTTGCAAATCCATACCCATTTCTATACCAAAATGGATTAATTATGAGAACAAAAAAAAAAAAAAAAAAATTTAAGGTCTTCAAAAAGGACTAATTTTTTGCCAATCCCATACCCCATTTCATTATTACCAAAATGGATTAATTATGAAGAACAAAAAAAAAAAAAAAAAACATAAATAACAAATCACCCTTTAAAATCTATTATATAGCATGATCATAAAAAAAAAAAAAAAAACATAATTAACAATCACCCTTAATTATATATAGCTGATCATGAAACACTACCAACCACCTAGTTTTCCTAAGCTACTACAATTACACTTCCAAAATTATTTAAAAATATTAAGATAACTCAAACAAACATGCTCAGAAAGAAGGATATAATAATAATAATAATAATAATAATAATAATATAAAAAATAATTGTAAAAGAAAAAACTTTTTGCTATTAATTAATTAAACCACAAACTAATAATTAAAAAAGAAAGACATAATAGTAATTGTGAAGTTTTGGAGTTAATCATCTTAATTAATTAATTAATTAAGTAGTAGTAGGAGTGGGGGCAGTAGTAATATTAATAGTAGGAGTAGTAGTTGAACTCTTCTTGGCTAGATTATGCTTGTTGTTGTGCATCCAAACCTTAAGAACTCTTCTTTTGACTCCAATTTCTTGACAGAACTGTTGCACCACAGCTTCTTCTTGCTTTTGTATTTTCCATCCAACTTTCTCTGCAAAGTTGTGCATTTTCTCTTTCTGTTCCTGTGTAAATTTTGTACGAAACCTTTTTTTCACAATTTGTGGAGCTCTACCCATTATTACCCCACCACCATCTTCTTGTTCATCAGACTCTGAAGGAATAGAACCCATATTATAAGACATTATCATCTGGTGGGGTGGTCCTGCTGCTCTTGAGGGCACAAACGTACCTGCATTTGTAGGGTAACCTAAAGCTTCAGGGGCTAAAATATTTTTATGGTGCCCCAGAATAACTTTTCTTGCAACCCTGTTAAAATGTGCAGGGTTGCCATGGTAATACTCACATGAACTGGATTCACCTTCAACTTCTTTCCTATGAAAGTTTCTATGGCAATTACATGCAGAACATGTAAGTGCTTCAATGCTACCTTCTTCACCGCTAGGCATAAACTCACCACACCCATCTGTTGCATTGCCTCCCATAGCTGCTGCATGGTTTTTAAGACACTCCCTATATCTAACCATTTTTTTGAAAGGAACATGATGGTCTACTTCTAGGGTAGGAGTAGGAATAGAGGAATTAGGGCCATTATGATTGTTATTTGATGGTAATTGAGGAGTTGAAGAAGAGATTATGTGGTTATGGGCTGTAGAGGGATGATGATGATCATGATGGATCATGTGACCTCCCCCATAACTACTGTTTATTGGAATTGGTATTTCTCCTTCATGACTTGAAAGCTCCATCTTTCTTGGCTCTTGCTAATATTTATGTCTGTAGCTTTCTTGGAGACCAAAAGAAAGAAACAAGACAAGAGAAGAATAGGAGATTAGATAGAAGAGACACCAAATGATTAGAGTTAAGAGTGTCTTTTTCCCCCCTTAATTTTGTCAATTTGTCCAGAAGCAAACAACACAACTCAATAGTTAGGGATTGTAACTATTAATAATGTATAATTCTTGAAATGATATTTCAAAAAAAGATTTTAATAAAAAAAAAAGGGAAAAGAATGACCCACCTTAAAGAATTGGAAATAAGAGGAGTTTTGGGCTATGGTTAAGTTGATTTATGAGTAAGATAGAGAGAGAAGACAAGAGGGCCAATCTTTTGATCAAAAGCTCAGAGGAAACAAAAGGGTAATCAACTATACCTAGAACACAGAGACATGTCCATCTTTCCTTTTCTTCTACTTCAAAGGTCAACTTAGAAAGAAAAAGAAAGAATGGAGCAAAATTCAGTAATACTGTAGACAGTAGCAGGCAATGAGAGCAGACCAGTATCAGCAAAAGAACAACTCTATCTCTCTAAACATTTCCATTTCTTTATCTCTTGAAAGTGAGAGAGAGAAAACAAAGAAAGAGAGAGAAAGAAAGAGAGTCAGCACTCAACAACTTCCCCAAAAGAAAATGATAGATTGAAATGAGCTTAGAGCTAGCTATAGGATATGGCTAAGAAGAAAAAGGAAAAAGCCTTTTCTTTAATTCAAGAAATGGAAATGCCTTAAGAAGACTATATCAAGAAAAGATCAAGAAACCCCTCCAGATGACCTTAAACACCTTCCATGGTAGTTTAAAGAAAGAATACAAGTTTTTGCTTGCTAAAAAGATGAGAAAGAGAGGTGAATTTGGAGAAAATAAATATTACAAGTAGGCTGGTGAAGAAGAAGAGAATAGGAGAAAGAGAGAGTTTTGCAGGTGGTTTTGGCTAGTGAAGCAAGCACTAAACAAGGAGCTTATAGTAGGGTTGAAGACCAAAAAAGAGAGAGAGATTAAAAAAAAAGAAAAGTAGATTTTTTTTTTTTAAGAGACAAAGAGGAATACAGTGAGTTTTTTAGTGAAGGAGATTAAAGGTGGGGTGTGGTTCTTTCCTTTGCTTTGCTTGCACTATCAGGCATCGAGTGTTTACGCCATATGGAGAGCAGTGTGTCAGAGAGAGTGTAGAAGGAGAGAGATAGAAGCAAACCATAAACAGAATTATCAAAAAGGAAAAATAAATAATTAGCAGAAAAATCTTTTTTATTAAAAATCTTGAAAACATTTTGTGTTGACATCTTTGCCCATAATTAAATCACTTCCATCTCCCTTTTTAATTCATAGAATGCTCTTCTATGGAAAGTGGTTTAATTGATAAATTATTTAAAGAACATATAATTGTAAAACCAAAAAATAAAAAAAAAATTTAATACAGCAGGAAATTCATTAAAAAAAAAGGAATTTCCAAAGACCTAGACCAATATAATTTATTTGTCTGAATTTTATGCTTCTAGACTTTGTGAGCTTGCCCTTATTTCACTAGCTTAATGCAACTATATCATTAATTTTGTGAAGTAGATGTTGTCATGCAATTCATGTGAATTAATGATTTCTATTAATTACATACTTAAATTGCAAACTATATCATTAAATTTTGTTGAAATAGGATTTTGTTCATGCAATTCATGCGAATTAATGATTTTCTATTAATTACATATATTATATCATATATATATATATTATATAGTAATATATATATATATATATATAATATATTAATAATATATATATATATATATATATACTATATAATTTAATGATTTCTATTTTCAAACATTTAAATTTTTCTATAAAGGACAGATTATTTTATGATTGTATTTTAAGTTATGTAATATATGTATGTATGTTATGGGAATTTATTATAAAAGAAAAAAAAAAAAAAAGAAATAGCAGAAAACACTATATGATTTGAAAATATATGTTTTTAAAAGCGAAGCAAAGAAAGTATAAAAGAAAAAAAAAAAAAAAGAATAAGAGAAACACTATATGATTTGAAAATATATGGTTTTAAAGGAAGCAAGAAAGTGATAATTAGGTATTTGGCTGAGAATAGAAAGCTTAAATATGTATAGCTAGTGCGTTTTGCTTCAGAGGTCAGACCTACTGTAGAAGGAAATAGAGATCAAGCTTTCAATATTTGTAATTAATATTTTAATATTTTAAAAAAATTTAAAACCTCAAATGAATATTCACTTGTTGCGGTGTATTGCGTCACTCAATTGTGAAAATGATGTTCCCTTGGCATTCTGAACACAATTTCATTTCATTCAGACTCATCACATGGAAGGTTGGAGAGAAAAGATTCATCTTTCTAATCAAATAGTAAAATTACATTAATTAAATTAAATGCCAACGTTTTTTTTTTTTTTTGAAAAATAAAATTCCAATGTTAATAATTACCTGAGAGATACATATTATTACTTGGTGTACTTCAGTTTGGGATATGCATGTGTATAATTCCTAGAACAAATTAACTAAACTAGCTACAATATTTGTACACCTGAAATTTCATTTCTATAGGTTAAGGAGATAAAATTTTCTGTCTTTACATGTTGCTTTTATATATTCCATATTTAATAGGTGATGGAGACAAAAGAAATATATATTGTTATTTAGTATTTACTTGCATATTATAAAATTAATTTTCTAAAATTGATGGTATGTATGGTAATTGAGTTTCAATTTTTCAGGCTATTAGCTGTATTTAATAATTCTATTAATAAAAAAAAAAATCTTAAAAAATTATTTCAATTTTGTAAGGTTATTTTAGAAGGTGCATGTAATTTACAATATCATTATTTATATTTAAGCTTTGTGGAATGTTTATTACTTTTATAATATATGAAACTAACTATTTCATATTTTCACCTTAAATTGTTTTTAAAATAATATTAGCTATAATAGTATATATTCTCAAAATATTTGTCATTTTATATATGAACACATTAATAGATTTTGTTCCTTTATATTTATATTACAGACATATTCATGCATACTATATATTTTAATAAGACAACAAATTTGATTTGTCTCCTTAAATTAACTTAATGAAGTGAATATTTTAATAATTAGAAAAATTAAATATCCATATTGAATTCTTGCAGTACCAAAATCAAAGGAATATAATTATTGTTGTTTTAACTATATCCATTTAACACTAATTAGTGCAAAGTAATTGGTTTATGATAGATACAACAAAAATCAAGAATACTTATTAATACAGTTGTTTGGTCATGAACTATTTTCTGGGATCATAATAATTATCTACATTAACTTTAATTCATGTAAAATGATCATATGAAGAATTTATTATGCTAATTTAAAAATGAAAAGACACTTTTTGATATCAAAGATGAAGTAAAATAAATTAAAAAGAAAAGAAAAAGACTAAGAGCACTCCTCCATTGTCATTCTGATAACTTAGTATTTTGACAAATGTATTTTCTTTTAGTCCTTCCTTTATTAAATATAATTATCCAAGCCACTTTATTCTTCATTATCCTCTCCTTTATTCCACACTCCACACCACATTTAGACACTTTATCCTTCTTTTTTATTTTTTATTTTTTATTTTTGTTTTTATCTTTGTTGTCCCTTCTTCTGGTAATTCCCTTATGCTACTTTCTTTTTTCTTTCTTGCTTTTGTTTTCTCTCTTTCTTTCATTTTTCATTTAATTTTCAGAAAAATTATGTTCAATTATTACTCTGGAATACTATCCTTTTTTTAATTTAATTTTATTCTTTGTATAAAATTTCACCTTGAGTAGTATTATCTTTCAAGTATAAATTAAAAAAAAAAAAAATCATTCACAAACAACACTAAAGACTTATTGTATTTGAATTTAAGAATTTAATTTTGTAGCTATAAATATACGTTACTACTTTCATTCTATAATACTTGTCATATTTGAGAAAATAGTTTGTTTCAAAGTATTTATCACATTTGTGATTTTGAAAAATAATAAATTTTTTTTTCATGTTTATCTTTTTTCTACGAACCAACGAACAATAATTATTATTTCAATTCTTCAAAAAATTATTCTCTCTTTATTTACTGTTACCTCTTTGTGTTTCCAAAATCTCTCGGCACTGTAGTTGGACAAAACGTGAAAATTAAAAATTTTAAAATTAAATTTATTGTTTGGATATATTAAATTAAATGTAATATAATAAATTTATTCAATAATTTATTGCAATCTAAATAAATTTAATGATTTTATTAATTAAACATGCAGTATGTTATAGTGATACTTGAATTTAAATATTTAAAAGTTTGAAATGAAATTCAAATACAGAGTTGAAGTATTCTAGAAAAGTAAATTAATAAATAAATGGTATGTATGATAAAAGGAAAATTTTGTAGATGTTGAAGTGCAGAAATTGTTGGGTTGGGTTAATTATGTATGGTACTGAGTTAAGGGTCCACAAGAATAAATGGTGTTGATGACACCACCTTGATCACAATTTTCAAGATGGTTCAGAGCCAAAATTTCTTGCTTTTAGAGAGAGGAACACATATATCCATCAATCTCAATCACTGCCAGCCCAAATTCTCTGTCTACCTCTCAGTCTGTCTTCAACCTTACAAACTTTAGTGTTTTAAAGATAAAGTCAAATGCATCTTACAAATTATACTCCCTTCCAAACTTAATTTCTATGCTTTTGCCTTGTTCCCTTTTTCTTTTACCCCTCCAATCTTAATACCTTAACAAGAAATCTCCAATTAAATAATTTATGTACAATCTTTGAATTATCATTTTTCACTCTAAGGGATCACGACCTATAATTACATAATTTATTTATAAATTCATTAAAACCGATGAAATTTTAGTCAAATAATTAAGGGTCTATTCGGCAAAATTAATTATTTTAATAGCTGCTAGCTATTTCAGTAGTATTTAGCTATTGATTGTTTGAATAGTTTTTTATAAATGCTAAAAAGCTAAATATTACATGGATTAACTTTTCAAAAAACGTTACCTTAACCTCTAAAAGTTAATTCAAATGTTATGTAACCGAATACTGTAAAAAGTAGCGTTTAACATTTTAACTGGTCAAAACGCTAAAAACTACTTAAAAATTATTGTCAAACACAATCTAACGCTAAAAACTACTTAAAAATTATTGTCAAAGTAGCGTTTAACATTTTAACTGGTCAAAACGCTAAAAACTACTTAAAAATTATTGTCAAACACAATCTAACGCTAAAAACTACTTAAAAATTATTGTCAAACACAGCCTAAAGCAAACTGTTGTCCAACACGGCCTAAAGCAGAAGAGGTCTTGAGACTCTGTTCTTGATGAATTTATTAAGTCTTAACATTATTGTTTAACACTATATCGATTGATAACTTGTAAATAATATATATTATCTCTTCAAAAAAGGACTCTTACGGATCATTTATATGTGATGGGCCATGCTATGAATTAGTGGGGATTTTAATTGTACTTAGACAAGAACAAGCAAACCTTGTTTTATTAGCCATTCCTTTTGCCATCATGTCCCAACCGAAAATCTTGTTGATTTGTATTAAAAAAAGAGTACAAAAACTGCCCACCACATCCCATATCTAACAACTAACAAGCTTGGTTTTTTTTTTTTTTTTTTTTTTTTTCTTGTTTTTTTTTTTTTTTTTTTTTTATGTAAACATGATTATACTTTACAACCTAAAATCATTATTAATTTTGAATCTTCTTATCTTAGTTTTTTGAATGCCATTCCCAATGTATTAAAAAAGCTTGTTATCATTTGTCAATTAATTTGCTTGATTAAATGTAAGTCCTTTTTCATTGGAAAGCTTATCCAATGAGTTCCTTTCCAATTATTTTTGGTTGTTGTTACTTTTATTTATTTATTTTTTTTGATGTATATATGCATCACATGTGTCTCTAATCTGTTGAGTGAAGTTTAATTTTATTCGCGTCATGTCAGATCAATACGGAGAAAGCGCTTATAAAGATTAAAACTGAGTTATTTTCACACAGAACACTCAGTTGATTTGGATTATTGCTTGTAATCATGTTGCGATTAATTAAACAATTAATTATTGTATGATAAAAGTCCTTGAGATATCTTTGGCATGTTTGCTTTTTTTGAGATTTCATCCTTTTTTT